AATAAGGTTTACAATTTGCTTGTTTTTTTGACCTAAATAACAATATTTTTAAAAAAAGATTTAAAAATCATTTAGTTTTCCTTTAAGGAGGAAAGGTTGGAAATTGCAATATTTTTACGTCATTGAAAAAGGTTTTTACCGCAAACCTTTTCGTAACAATGAAAGTAAAGTTAAAACTCAAGGTTGTCGTAAGGTTACATGCTTTCTGGGTTTGTAATATCAACTTTTAAAATATCAACAATAATTCAGATAATCGTTGTTGGTGTGGTTCAAGACGTTATTAGGATACATTTACTAGTATCTCGTTTATATTTTTATTCAATAATTGATAAATATATTATTCCTAATAAATGCGTTCTTATGTAAATTGAAACAATTGTGGAATAAATTAGTTTTAAAAAAGCAGATGCATAACCACATTCAATCAAAAATATGTTTTTATAAAACTTGACAGTCGTTAAACATAATATTTTATTCAAATCTCTTTACTGAATTAAATATAAATTAGCAGACGACTTAAAAAGAAGACGATATCGAAACAAAACAACGAAAAATCACCAATAAAGTTTACGCTAGGCTTGTGTTAGTCAATATCCTTGTAAGTTTACCACATTTAGGCATTGATCGCTCCATTTAAATATTTTTTTCATTGTCCCCAAATTGTTTTTTTAAAAATGATTTATTTTGATTTTTCTCGGCTTCTACTTAATAAAATTAATTGAAACTTTATATTTCACTATAGAAAATACGTATATTAATATAATATGAAAAATTGATGACTCATAATTCAAAATCTTTTCGTCCAGTATTAAATTAAATAATAAAAATTCATAAATAATTATTAAAAATTATTTTTTGCATGAAATTATCTTTAAGTAAATGAGTTTCATGAATGGGTGCTATTTTTTTAAAAATTGCGCATATATTTATATATATATATGAGTATATATTTATATATATGTGTGTGCGTTTATTCAGGGAAAGTGTATTTTTGCGTCTGATTTAATAACTTAATAGTAACATGACATGAATAAATCAGCATATTTGAAGTCACTCCCCAGGAAGCATTAAGATTGACACTTAATACTTGAAAATCGATAATTAGAACGAGTTATTCAGGGTATTTTGTAATTTATTTTGCGCAATGTACACCTATTTTTTAATTGATAAGGTCACACAATCTCTCCTACCAATATGAAAAAGGGAGCTTTGTTCATTTCTTAGGGGAAATGGAGCGCTGTACATATGCTAGAGGAAATAAAAGCATTGTTCCTATGCTAAGAGAATTGAAGCATTGTTCATATACTAGGAGAAATGGAGCATTCTACTTGTGCTAGGAGAAATGGAGCCTATACAAGGAAAACTTACGCTATGTTCAGAGCATCCAAAAAGATGTCTAATTATTGCAGCTTTTTAAGAGTCCCAAAACCATTTAATCAAAAGTAAATTTTTCTGTTTATTTTTCCATGTTTAGCCTTAATTAAAGTTATTTCCCTTTTTCCAAATCCTAAATAATTCAGTTGAAATATTTGCTTCTAATAACATATTTGTTTGTAAAATTTTACTGCAAATTAGTTTAAATGGAAATAATGTTAACGATTTAATTGTAGTTATTGTTAATACAATACTCTCTTTTACCAATAAGCGCAATCTCTTCTACTACGTAAGAACAGATTAGAAAAAGAGTCATTTTGGTTTTTATCACAGCTTCTGTCTAAAATCTAAGCATAACTGCAAAATAATAATAGGAATGTATAAAAAACAAATGTAATTAGCTTAACAAACAATTTATATGAGCTATTCTTAAAATTCGTGCGTTGAATTGGGTGCTCTCGGTCGGAAAAATGTTTTACGTGTGTAATTTATAAATTTTGCTATTCGAATAGTAATTTATTTCAAAAACAAATATTCAAATGTTGAGTTTTATCGATAGAGTCTTATCTTTAACTTGTTTAAAAAATGACATTCGAATGTTGAGTTTTATAGATGAAAACTTGTTTTAAGAAGAATTTAGGAACACAATAAATGTTATAGTTTATAACATTTAACTTGAAAAAATGAAAAATTGAAAGAAAAAAAAGGGTAATGATCATTTAAATTTTTATTGCATAGTTACGAAATAAAATTAAGAACAGGATTTTACACTTACAATACTTGACGGCTCTTCAAACTGTACTATATAGTACATTTTTAAAAAATTATTGTGATATACAAGGTTTCTTAGTAATAATTGTACAAATAAGACTATTTATTATGATATATTTAAATGAATGAAGAATATTTTTGTTATACTATCTGATCTCAACACACGTTATAATAACAGATTCAGTTATCAATGAATGAGCAAAAAAGCAACATATATATATATATATATATATTAAAACTAAACTTGATTGTAAAAAAGCAACTTAACAAAACTGAACTTGACAGTAACCATTTGTGTTCAATACCTAAACTTAATCTAATAATCAACTCGAATAAAAAAACAAACTAAGCATTTATGTTACATAACATTTTAAATTAGAACGTCTTTTAGTTAACTTGACAAGAAAAGATTGAGATAAATCTTATTTATAAATTTAATACTATTTTAATGTTTGCCATAGAAGAAAAAAGATTTACTGAACGAGTAGCCTTTGAAAAGCAAACACAATGTTGTAAAGAAATTATTTCATGCAATTATTTTAAAGCAAAACAATATTTGTTTCAAACTCTCTTTATTACTTCAAACGTTTTCATTGATTTAAATACTATATAACTATACAAGTGATTATTAAGAACATTTCTAATTTATAAAAATATTAATAGTTATGGCTTTACATTATTCTGGGATTTTTTAAACGTGATAAATCATATTTTATCTCCTTTTATAAGTTAGCTTTGTCCAGATAAAATGGAGCTAATGACAACCATTGTTTATGTAGATGGCACAACCAATCTATCAGAGGCAACATTGCTTTTGTGACAATCCATTTTAGACATGACAGTTAGGTTACTGATAGAGTTTAGCCTTGATACAAACAGAAAACTAATAAGCTAAGAACAGTAATTTAGCTTATAGTAATTATAAAAATATTTATCACAAGTACAATGTTTGGAAAATAATTTTCAAAAGAGGTTTAATAACAGTTCGAAGTCATCTCTGCTGCTTAGAAAGTTCGAGTCATATTTTAAAATCTTCACTGCTGATTTCCTCAGCTTGTGGTAAAACGATAAAAATTGGTCTATTTCTCACTGTTTGACCAATATTTATAGGCTGAATGTTGCTGTATTCCAGGAATGAAGAAGTTGTTGCGCCAAATTCCTGATTTTCCACAATGTAAGTATCCTAAAAATATATAATGATAACAATGAGGTTCGATTTTGTTTATTTAACCTATAATAAAATCAAATTAGGCGAAATTTTGATCAGACCAGACATTCAGAATTACAAGGGATTTGTTACATCTCAGGGACCCGCACATGAAAATCTCACGAAATCCCGTGACGAGTATACATAAGTCGATAGAACAAATAATTCAGAGGTTGCAAGCCTTTTTATGTCTAAAACTTACTTTTTTTTGCACGTACTTATGCATGCATTTTACATTGCTATCCACGAGCTATCTGAACATCTAAGGCACATTTTTTGGGTGTAACTTTTTACGCTGAATGAAATGAGGCCATACTTGAGACAATCGGACTAATAGTTTAGAAGTTGCGCATCTTACATTGCTATACAGACAGTCCTATTGATTCGTGTTTGGTCTCATTCAAATAAATGAGAAAAATACACAGGAAACAATACTTCACTTGTCTGTATAACAATGTGTAAATAAGAGCAAACGCACAATTGTACATAAAAAGCTTATAACTTCTAAGCTATTACTCCAGTTGTCTTGGTTGGGATTGATCTCATTCAATTCAACGCAAAAAGTTTCACCAAAAAATGTTCAGATAACTCTTGGGTACATACATTCGCACGTTAGAAAAGCAGTATTTCTAGACATAAAAACGCTTTTCAATTATATATTCTATCGACTTGTGCAAAGTCTCATTCAATTCAACGTTACATTAGGAACAATATTTTAATTGTCTAAATTATAGAGTTGACATACTGGGGTGGAGAATAACCCCTGAGCTGTGGACAAGTCACATAATTTTAGCCTAAATTTCTGGTTGACTGAGAACACTTCCGTTAGTTTTGTATAGCGATCATCTGATGCAATTAATTGTTTGTCTTTTCAATTAAGAAATATCAATGGTTCAAAAGTACAGCGCATTTGGCTGCAATGAAAAGTTTTCTAGGGGTGGTCAGTCACATTCAAGTACGAAATTTTGTTCAAATTTTTTATTTTACGATATAGTTTAAAATTTTTCCATTCTCAGAAATGCTATGATTATAATATTTTATTTGCTTTAAAAATAAATTACGCTCGATTGTGTTTATCTTTTCTTTTTTTTTTGTACTTAACATTAGTTTTAATTGTTTCGTGAAATTTAAACCAATTATGTTTAAGCATTTTTCAATATTTACTCTATTTTTAGTGGTATTTCTAGTTCAACGGAAATAAATAATATTTTAATTACATACTATGTCATCTTGAAAACTAATATGTTCCACAAATTTGTAAAGAACACCACAATTGTGATTTTGTAGTAACCAAAGGAAAACGATAAAGATCAAGTTTATAATAAACAATCCCTGTTTAAGTGTGGATGTTGGCTTTCTTGGATATTTTCTTCATTTTTCTGAATATTTTCTTTATTAATTTATTTCGTTTAAGTATAAAAGTGAAGCTTGAATGCATAAATTTAGAACGCATGTTTATTCCAACTACCCATTTTAGACGTAAAATTTTTATTATTTAAAGGTAGACAACATCAACTATTATTCTTTACTTCACTTTCTGGAGTTTTTCAGTGATTTTTATATAAAAAAAATAGTATGCCAATCAAAATCACGCTTGTTGTGGGAAAATTTTTTCTAAAGCAGCTGATTCCATAAACCGGAATAGGCAAGAACGTTTGAAATTGAAACCTTGCGAGTATACTAAAAGTTAAAATGATTAATATATATTTTATTTTTACTGAATTTATGTTTCATATTTTAATGAAACATGAGGTACAATTTTTCATTTATAGAAGGTTTTAAAAATATCAACGAATTTTATTAGCAAAATTTTAAGTTAAGGATAGATTCGTATAGCCTAAGAGTTTTTGTAATTTTCAATATTTCTTTTTGCTGTAAAATTCATTTCAAAGTATCAAACGCTGTTGAAGATAGATTTACTTTATTGAAAGATTGATGATCATTTAAAAACAAACTCCTAAACAGTTTCCACCTGAATTCTTTCTCATTTTGTTCTAATGGAATCGCCACACCTTTATGTTTGTTGGAAAGTTTTCAAAATTTCAAATATTTTTCCTTTTTAAAACATGTCTAACAAAAATTTGATTTTACAAAACAGTGGTAATGATTTTATTATAGGATTGTTTTAACATGTGTTGATATTATAATAATTCCATATTTAATTTTTAATAGCGGCTGATTTTATAATCCAGTGATTTTATTAGTGGCGGTCACACGAAAATCCCATTAAAATGTTGAGATTCATCGCATGTTCAAGAAGTTAATCTTTAAACTACTGCTTTTGTGTAAAAAACTCAATTTATATTAATTTGAAGAAGAAGGGATTTATACCAAAATTCTCCGCAATTTTTTTCGCTTTAAAAGAAGAAAAAAAGCAAAATTGAAAAGGTACTGTACCTGATAGTATCGATCCACAGTTTAAACCTGGGGTCTGTCTTATAATTTTAAATAGGATTAAAAAATTATTCTAATCAACTCGTGAATTTGTTTTTGCCCATAAAACTGTATTGTTATAAAATGAAATATTTATTTTTGGGTTTAAATTTTATCATTTCTTAAAAATATCAATAACCAACCCAACATCTGTCATTAAAATTTTTTTTTTTGTCAGATAGATCTATCAATTTACATTAAATGAACTGGAGCAAGCAATATTTTGAAAGTAACTTACTATTCCATATAAATAAAGTAATATCTGCTAAAAGATTGTTAATTTGTCGGAAAGAACAAAATACTAGTAATAATGACATTTCAAGAAGTAAATTATTCGTTACTACCACTATTTATTAAGTATCATAATGTAATAATTATAATGTAACTGTTAATTAAGATGCTAATAAACTGTTAATAAAACCCTACATACTTACTTCTACTGAAACAAATTTAGAAATGCGAAATTTTTTTCTACAAAAATAATTAGAAGGATGTCAATTATCCGAAAATTTTAAGCCTTGATTATTTAATTGTCTTTTTTTAGATAAAACGTGTGAGCATGTTGATTAATTAATTAATGCTATAATTATGAGCACGTTAATTAATATTTTACTTCAAGAAGTTAGAATATTAAGCAGATAAAAATGAATAAAAGATTATGTTTATACTGAAACTGAGAAAAAAAAGATTTGATTTAATTATCTTTTTATTAAATTTGATTTATTTTGGTAATTTATACAAAATTGTAATTTGCAGAAATTTAGAAGAAATATCAGCCAGTTGGAGATATGGAACGCCGTCTGGATTTCTAAAATTACCCATCCGTAAGTGGGTAAATCCTACTTGAAAATATATTGCATCTTAAATTCCTGTTTTTTTTTTTTTTNTTTTTTTTTTTTTTTTTTTTTTTTTTTTTTTTTTTTTTTTTTTTTATCATTAACATGTTTATTATTTTTATTTAGTTTTAAATTTGCTTTGGTATGTAATGGAAATTTTTACAACAAACTAATTTGTGTAATGTGATCACTCTTAGATTTTAGGTTAAATTTTTGATTAACGTTTTCTTGATGTTTTTGTCATTATTTTTTACGCTGAATAAATTTTTGGTGATCGAGAGAGCGTCATTTGACATCTTTCAGAAAGGATTGAAAATAAAGGCTTTATTAAATTAAGAGAAATAGTGCTTGATCATTTTTAGAACTTTTTAAAACTTTTTTTTCTTTTTTCAAAAATGCAAAGCAATAAAATTTGGCAATTTGTGGTTCTGAACAAGTCAGTTAAAAGTACACATTTGATTGCTTTTAAATTATTTTAAATGCAATTTTATTAATTATGCAATTTCATTTTACTATTTTAAATGCAATATTATTTTTTTTAAACTAATCGAAACCAATTTAGAAAATGCTAAATTTTTAACGTAAATTACGCAAAAACAAAGATATTTCTCAGAGACCTAAGACAAGTTAAATATATTTTAGAAAAATGTTGATTGCATTGGTATGACTTTATCAGAAGAAAATGAAGCCTAATATAATTCACGACTTACATCTGAAATTATGACGATCTTTCGAAAGCTTAATTGGAGTTTATTTGTGAAAATTCAATGGATCAAAAGCATAATTAGAATTTCCCCTTGGCAGTTTATATTATTAACAATTGCTTTTAAAATATTAATTTGAAAAAGTACCTCATTTGCATTAATATTGTTTAAATTATTAAGAAAAGAAATGTCCTCATTTGTCGGTCCTGCACAATATGAAAGTAGTGTAGATTGACTACATGATTTTCTGCAACATTCTTCAACAACTCCTTCCGATCTTTCCGAGATATTTTCTTCTAAAAGAAAACAAAAGTAATCAATTTTTTGAAGAAATGTGATTCTTGACACCTTAAGATGGACAAAAAATTTTACTTCTCAATGTTAACCCCAATTAAACAACGAGAAATTTCTCTAAGGCAACGAATAAACATCTTTTCTTATTCAGAACATGATTAAGGGGTTTGAAAAAATCTCAATAATAAATTTATCGGATTTGTGACACCTTTGTAAAAATACTGTTTACATGAAAATGATTGTTGGACTCACAAATTATTGACTGAAAAACTTATTTCTACTAAATTATTTTGAAAGTCATTCCTTGTGTATATACTAGAGAAATTATCTTAACAGTTAAGAAGTAAAAAATTAGGCAGAGAAAAATATATCTATGCAGTTTTAAAGCAACGATATTTTGAAATTCAACAAAAATTTTAAATATAATAATTGTTAAAACCAGTGCAAAATCATTCTAAAATGCAAACGATAATGAGAAGAGTTGAACTTTAAGAAATATTCGTCGTTTGAATGTACGATATTAGATTTCTGTAGAAATTACAGTAATTTGTGGTATTTAATGAGAATAGCAAAAGTTGTGTCAAAAATGCCGAGTCAGCTATCCAGTTTTGTTCAATTCTTCCTTACTAAGTGCCGAAGGTTGACCTTTAAATATGTAAATTAACTTATGCTAGCTACTAATTAAATTCGATAAAAAAAATATATACTTTCTATGAATGAACATGATCATAAATATGAGGAGTAACCGCAGTTCAACTTCTAAGTCACAAAAGCGAACGATTGTCTCTGAATATTAATTTCAATTATTGCATAAATGAGCAACTCTTGCAATTTTGAATATTTTTTTCCTCGTAAAATTTAAACGAATCTAAAAATTTCTCGAGTTAAAGAAGCTCATTTTGTAAGAACTGGTTTATTCAGTAATACTCTTTTTCCTAAAGAAATCCTACGCAAAATATTATTTTTAATAAACTTATTTAATAATGACAGAGGAATTATGGAATTGTAAAAAATTTATTAATTTTTGCATAATTTTAAACTATGCAATTTTTAAAGGTATAATACAAAATCGAAATGAATGAAAATGAAAATTTAAAAATACGACTTTTTTGAAATTTTATAACTCAGTAACTATTCAACTGATCCATGACTCGAAAAGAAAGACTCTGTATTATTTAGAATTACAGATTTTATATTTACTAATCATTCTTTTAATTTACTTTTTAATATTTGTATTTAAAATATTGTTATAATCTTAATTTTTTCCAGAGAAATATTTTGAATTTTTCAAATTAAAATTTCTTCAAATTTTTGGGCATTGAACAAAGTTTAATGAAACGTAAATAAAATAAGCATTTGTTTATGGCTCGATCGATGAAAACCTACATAATTCTGGCAAATATAATTTAGCTAATCAGCTAACTTTTAGCCGCATAACCTTACACTTTCTATTTCGTGACTTTGCCATAGGCTGATGCATAAAATTAAAATCATTATCAACTGTTGAAACATAATTCAAAGCTGCTGACAGAGAAAGAGGATTTTCTTTAAAATTTCGAGCATTTAAAGAAATATGTTGAAATTTTTCAATTAAAATTTCATTGAATTTTTCAGTACTTAACAAAGTTTAATGAAAAAGTGGAAAATTATAGGCTTACCAGTTTGTTTATGGCTTGGTGAATGAAAACCACCAGAATTCTGACAAATATAATTAAGCAAATCTGCTAATTTTTGACCGCATAATCTTACACTTTCTACTTCTTGGCTTTGCCATAGGTTGATACAAAAAATTAAAACTAAAAACGTTATTGTCTGTGGAAACATAGTTGAAAGTTCTTGGTGAAAAAAGAGGATTTGCTATAGAATTGCGAGCATTTAAAGATAACCGAGTTCTTGCGCAGTTCACAACCCACGTATATAAGTTAATCACGAAAAAAAATAAATAATTTTCAGACCAAAATAGACATTGAAGTTATTACGATTTATACAGTTCAATAGTTTTTCGAAAATAAATTCCAAGAAGTGTATGGATTTCTAAATAAAAGTTCTTGGAAAAGCAAATGTTTCTTTATTTGAAGAAAAGTTTAATTCCAACAGAAACCACTCATTTTGTTTTTAATATCAGAAAAAATATTTTTGGTTTTAAAAATTTCCTTATTAATTTTGGTTCTAAAATTAAATTTGATACTGAACCTTTTAAATTTATTGTTTTGGATTTGATTAAATCAAAACTTGGTGTTAATAAAACTGATTTGCTCTTTAAAAAGGTTTCTAATGTTAAAAGGGTTTTTTGCACGATGAATTTTCATGATAAAAAATTTGAAATTGCTAAGTTACCACACATGGTCTAAGTTACCATACATGGTCTTTCTGAATGTTTCCTTTCAAGCAAATTAAGGTTTCAGCTGAGTATAAATATTCTTCTACGGTTAGAAAAGAGGTATGTAATTATAATTTTTTAAGTCGAAATTTAAATTGTATTTCTAAATTTGATTGTTATTGTGATGATAAGGATTTTTCTCAATATATTGATAATGATTATGGACACATTATTACGGGAAATTTGAAGATTGTTGGTGATCAAGATTTTATTAATATTTTAAGTAAAGGTTCAAAATTTAGGACAAGATTTAAAAAGAAAAATGAGGATTTTATTTTATCCATTAAAAAGGATCTTGATTTTTTTGTAGCAAAAATTTCCAGAAAATATCATTGGCCCGTTGAGGGTTTTTCAGACTGGAAAGCTAAAATTATTGAAAAAGTTAAATTTAATTTATTTAATACCTGTTTTAGTTCATATCCTAGTGGTACTATTATAGATTATGATTTGTCTAGAAATATTAAAATTCCTAAAGATAAATTTATTGTTACTGTTGTTGATAAAGTATCAAATAATTTTTGTATTATGTGTAAATATTTAAAAAAAAAATTATTATTGGTGAACATAACGCTAATAATACTTATTTAAAATTAAAAGATAAGAAAGTTATTGAAAAAAGAATTATTGCATTTAGTTAAAAAAAAAATTTTAGGTCAAACAGGATTACATTTCCATATTTATTTCTTATTGTTAAATTTCATAAAAGTCCGGTTAAATTTAGGTTTATTGCGTGTGGTACTAATTGTTACAATTCTGATATTAGTAAAAAGTTTTTTAATTTTCTAAAAATTATTTTACTTAAAATTAAAAAAGAGAAAAATATTGTTATAGATAGTAATGTTAAAGTTTTGGATTATATTAATAATAATGATATTTCTAGCATTAATACTTTTGATTTTGAAAATTTGTATACAGGTATACCACATGAACAGATTATTGAAATTTGTAGCGAAATTTTCGATAAGTATTTATTTAATGAGAAAATTGATAAGTCTTATTGGTTGGATTTATGTAGGTTTAATCTTTTTGAGAATGTTCTTTTTAATGGTTTAGATTTTTATAAACAAATTATTGGAATTCCACAAGGTAATTCCTTTTCTGGTGCTTTTGCTAATACTTTTTTTAATTTTTTTGAAGCCAAATTTCTTGAATATAATGAATTTAATGCTTTTAGATATATTGATGATTTGATTTTGTTTAATTGTGATAATTATAATTTTATTTATAGTATTTATCCTAAAGATTTGATTTTGAAGAAAACTAATGAGAATTGCTTAAATGTTGAATATTTAGATTTTAAAATTGATATTGTTGATAAAATAATTAAAATTGGTGTTTTTGATAAAAGAAAAGCTTTTAAATTTAAAGTTATTTTTTTCTGAAACTTTAATACTAATTTGCATAATAAAATTTTTAAAAATTTAGTTTTTTCACAATTGGTAAGGATTAAAAATATTTGCAATAACGTTGAAAGTTTTCAGGAGGCTGTGAATAATTTTTTGAATAATTTGAGTAATAATGATTTTTCTTTTAACTTTCGTAATGTTAATTTTTTGATTAAAAAAATGATTGAAGAATACTAGATTTTTATTTCTTTTAACAGGGCGCAATTCAAGTCTTAACTGAGCAGCCCCAGTTAATATTAATTTGTTACGTAATCTTTTCTTTTACTTCTCTTCTTTTTTTTCATTATGCTCATTTTAATGGAGGGCGTTGTTTTCTTTTGTTTTAAGTGTTTCCTTTGCATTTAGTTTGTTTGTGAAATCGCTGTTTGACCGGTTTAATGTGAGTTTTTATTTTCTCAAGATTTTGTTTGAATTTCTTTTCTGAATTGGTTTTATGTATTTCATGTATTTTTTCCTGGACTTACACAAAACCTTCGGGGTACTGAGAGATTTAATTTCGGCATTTAATTTGGCCTCTCTCTCAATAGAAAAGGTTTTGTTTTATAGCTTCCGAGGCCGGTACCCCCTGAAGACGTCGGCTTTGGTGGTCATATTTTAATTTTTATTTCCTTCGTTTTCTTTATTGCTATATTTATTCTTTCTTTTGAAAATTCTGCTGCTCTTAAGCGCGTTTCTTTCAAAGATGGTTTTGTCGATTTTGAATTAAATATTTTGTATTCTTTTACTATCATTTGTGTTGGATGATCAAATAAAATAGCCGCAAATGAATGATTCAAGTACAGTTTCAAAAAAAAATTACGATCTTAATACAAAAGTAGTTTTGTTTGGTACTAATTGGGTCTTCTTTTTAAAAATAACTTCAGGACCACGAAACCACCTCACTAATAAAGCAGTCAATGAATTTTATTGATGTCTTTAAATTTTACACAGGATTTGAATTTTGTGCCATTTGTGAAATAAATATTGAAGGCACTAAAACAGCTGATAGTTTAGGGTTTATAAAAATAAAACAACGTGTTTGAATTTTGTGAGCAATATTTTGATTCACTACTCATGTAATTTCACGGTTTGGTAATCATAATGGGTCGCCCTAGTAATGCGAATTTACTCAATTCAACATTCCTTTTACAGTCTAGGATTTATGCCATTCAGCCCATAACCACCCACATTTTAAAATAATGATTGGAAATTCAGCAACATTTATGCAAATGTAAAACAGGAAGAAATTTCGTCTAACAGGAAAAAATTTAGGTCAGCAAAAAATTTTTAGAAGCTATTGACCCGATACGCTATTCCAAATATAATCAATCTTATTCTATAGCAATAAAATATGTACATTTTTCAATTTTTTTATCAAAATTATTTTTAAAACTAGTTCAAAATTACTTCTTAGAATTTAGGGCACCATGTTTTAGATTTAGCTAAACTCTTTTTGTTAAAACTGTTTTAAAGCATTAATATTAAATATTAATGAGTGTACAGTAAGCAAAAAAAGGAACTTCTTAAATAACATTTGATCTAATCAACCTCAATGATTCTATATTATATATTAGTGTAGATGATGTTACGAAAGACACATAAATGTAATCTTTCTCTGACATATCCTTTGGCACAAATAACTTTTCTAGGTCATCAAAATGTAGTCACAATCTGGTCAGGACAGTGATTTCTTTGCATTTCACCATATTTAAAGGAAATTAAAAATTCATTTGCCTAAAGGTAATTTTTAATATTTATTTAACAATTTTTATTTATTTTAATTTTCCAGACTGCAGCTATCCCCAGATTTTGAGAGTCAAGAATACAAACTGAGATATACACTGAGAAACTTTATTGCAACTTTGATCTATTGAAAGTCACATAACAAGCTGCCATTATTTTACCCTAAATAGACAAGAGTTTCAGCCACAGCTCCGTTATCGTGGCTGGACAGTTACAGTCGACAGCAACTCAATTTATTTAGTTGCTGTTAGTCTTAATTTAACTAGATGGAAAATGTGGCTTCAGTCAGTGACAAAGTTGAGAGAAGATTGCCTGTTCTGTAAAGGTTGGCTGGCTATAAATGGGGATGCAGCAGGAAAACTCTTGTTACAACTTAATCCTTGGGACTGCTGCTTATACTACAATTAGAAAACTTGAAAGAAACCAGAAAGAGGTAATGCGCTGTTACGGGAGCTATTAAGATCACTCCTATTCTATCCCTGCAAATTCTAACTGACTCTAACAACAACTCATAGCTGACGAACTTATGATTATAATAGCTGTAAATTTTTAAAAAAACCAAGTTGAATTTAATTACGCTAGTTTCAAAGTAATATTGTTGTCCTCCCGGACCCCTTTTGTTATTTCTGTGGGGATCACGTCATCATGGATGGTCATCACATTTCACAATGCAGTGCGCTTCGTGGGAGTTCCTTGGTCGAGCGTTATTGGGAGGCTCGAGGCCGAATGAGACAATTACTTTTTTGTTTTGTTTGTTTTCTTTCTTTTTTTTTTTGTTCATATCCTTTTCCCCCTTTATGTCAAGTTCTCTGCCATTGGAAATTAAAAAAAAAGTTTAAAAGAAGTTTAAAAGTAATTAAAGATCTTATAAATGTTCACACTCCCACAGATTTTGACCAATTCTTTGTGCCCTCTCGATTACAATGACAGTAAAGTCCACCTCGAACTTGATTTGTAAATCTATAAAAAGGAAATGAGCCACCAAGAATTGCCCTCGAGACTATTGATAAGCGATATCCAAAAGACCAGTGGGCTCACGTGTGCACTGGTGGCTCCTTGATGGATGAGGGTGCGGGATGAGTATTTTTTTATTATTATTTTTTCTTTTACGGAGCTGTAGGTAATAATACCACTTGCTTCGAAGGAAAGGCCATTTGCGTGACTCTGGAACAGATTGTTTCCAGAAGAAAAATCCTTAATAAAATTTTTATTCTTTCTGATTCCAAAGCTGCTCAACAGACTATTTCCAGTAATAAAATGCGAAACGTATACCTGATGGGGACTATTGTTTTAAAGTGGGTTCCATCTCAACGGTAAGTGGAAGAGAATGAAAACTTCCTAACGAAATCTCCAAAAGTTAAAGACTGTGTTTCACTCAGCAAAATGGATGATAAAACTGGAATTTAACACAAGACATAAACTACTACTTAATAATTATGCAAATGATCTTCGAAATATCTGGCTTCCACTATTCCGGATTTTCCTCGAGCTTCTGCTGATGCGATATTTCGTCTTTTAACATGGCTGTCTTTGTGCTCACTTGTTTAAAATTGGACTTCTCCTAATTGTATTTTATGTAACTCTTGACAACCTATGAACTAGGAAGAATCGGACACATGTCCTGTATTATATTCTTTTAAATTCGTTGTACAAAAACTCAGGGAAGCTAGAAGGCTAAATTATTAAATATCTGGCATTTATAAATAAATAAATATATAGTAAAAAAACAACACTTTCTTCATTTTAACAATTTTATTATATCACGCACTTAGGTAAGGAAAAGAATAATAATTCAAATTTTAAAAAAATATTTACGTTTCAATATTGTAAAATAAATAAATAAATAAAAATATTTTTATTAAATATTATTTTTAAATTGTGACCACGTCCGGGGTCCAAACTCAGGACTCTCAGGAGTAGGAATTTTTTACTAGGTTAACATTAAGGGGAGATATGGGGCTATTTATATATACAGTATATGAGCAACAGTTTCTTACTTTTAGCGCAAATATATTCCCCTGGAAAACACATATACATATACATACTACATACATATTATGCCACATTGTAAGCGCCCTAATTAATTTGTATATGGTACTATGGTATTATAGTATGTTATAAAATAATACCTAAACGAGCTTGAATATCATAGGTTAATATCAAAGGGATGTATAGGGCAATTTCAATATAATATAAATTGCAAGAAAACGCATTCTAATTTAATTATTTATTTTATGAAAAAGAAGCTTTGAATGTAAGAAATAAATGTTAAAAAAATTTCTAATATTAAAAATTTTTTTTATTCTATATTATTAAAATAAATTTTTATCAATATCATGCCTATGTGAGCAATCGACCAGCCAGACACATTTGAAAAAAGAGGAAAAAAATTAAAAGATTAAACATTAAAATTAAACACAAAAAGATTAAACATTAAAAAACAAATTAAAATGTTTAAATGAAAATAATATTTTATTTTTCGATAATTAATATCGTAAAATTGAAAATATGCTAATAAAGTTTTAAAAAAATAATAAAAAAAATTGAGAAAGAATATCTTTTAGCGAAAAATAGCCAAGTTTGTAGCTACTTCTTTAAAACTAGTCCCTTTGCAATGTACTACCTGCCTCCTGTGACGAATTTTGATAATGATGGGAGTTCGATAATTGATGTCACTGATTGAAGGGGGTAGAATTTTTTGAGCAGTTCAGGCCGACCCGAGTACAATGCCGCCCTTGCTTTGTAGTAAAAAACAGCATACACGCATGAAATTTTTCAAATATGTATATGGTATGTATAAAATGTATATTTCTCAAAAACATGGCCATCTGTTATTCTAGATTTGAATAAACAGTTAAACATCACAGATGAGTCGAAATGAAATACTGAATGGAAAAAGAGAGGGTTGCACAGGCGAAAATCGCGGGTTTTAAGCAAATTTTGCTACTTCTACCTTTATCGTAGAAGCGAGAGGATTAAAAACTATTAACTGAATATACGAAAGAGAGCTATAAAAAATTTTGTAATCCAAAAATTTCTTAATCTATCCTAATAATTTAGTAAAATAAGTAAAGTTAGATACACAATAATTTTTTGAGATGATGATTCTAAAAATAAAGCTGCCATAGAATCTTTTTAAAATGTTTAGTATTTGCAGTTTAACAAAATACGGCATTTTTTCTGATAGCAAATTATACTATAATAATATCTTGTGAGTTGTGCTAAAATTAATTATTTTTTAATTATTTAATAATAAAATTGCTTTTTTAATTATTTTTTTTTTCAACATCGTTTTTTTTAAAAATTAACTGTGGAATATAAGTTTAAACGTCAAATTAAAACTGTGGTTCGAATTTGTTAACTTAAAAAACAAAGAAAACAGTTGTAGTTGCTCTAACACAGTGTTTCCCAAACTTATTACTTTTGTGTACCCTTTCTAAATTTTTCGTAACGCTGTGTACCACTATAAAAAAAAAATGAATGTATTTTTTTTAAAATATGTTTATTTAGAATGGAGAATAAAGTTAAAAATCACAACTGGTTGCTGACACAACTAATTATTAACTGCTAACTCTGCAAAAAATAGCCAATAGAAAAATACGTAATAGTAAATTTTCATGGCTAGCTTTGCTTTTAAATAAAATTTTTTGAAATTTTCGTTTGTTGCATGATATTTCGCATAAGAACGCGTACCCTAAACTGTTCCTGTACCTCTGGGGGTGCTCTAACATGTACTTACTATTCACAAATCAAGCAAATAAAAAACAATAATTTAAATAAATAAATAATTTGTCTTCACTTGTCTAGAAGAATGGTGCGCTTAATTAATACGATCAGTCAGACGTTTTTTCTCAGAAATTTCGATACAGAAAAATGTTCCTAAATTTTTCTCAGTCAACTTGACGACTATTTAGAACGAATGTTAATTTAAAGAGAAACTTATAGTACTAATGAAATAGATTAGTCTAATACAAGAAAAAATCTACGTATTAGCATACAGAATGAGAATTTGAAAAATGTAGAAATGTGAAAAAAATAAATGNAACTGAAAATGTGTCATAAAACAATAAAGAATATAATAGTTTGTTACTTCAAAAAGAAAGTGGTTGCTTTTCTTTGCTATTAAAATTAATGATTAATATCTTTTAGAATGTATGAATTAATCAAGTACAAACAATTTTTTTAAAAATTAGGACGAGAGAAGGCCTTTAAAATTAAAAAAAAAAAAAAAAACAGATGCATAAACACAATAAATCAGACACATGTTTTTATAAACTTAGCATTCCTTAAACATAATATTTTATTCAAATCTTTTTACTAAATGAGTATAAGTTAGCAGAGGACTTAAAAGGAAGCATCATATTTTATAATTAAAAAAAGAAAAGATATCGAATCTAAACAACAAAAATTCATGAATAAAATTTATGCTACGCTTGCGTAAATCAAATTCCTTGTTAGTTTACCACATTTAGGCATTAATCACTCCAGTTCAATATTTTTTTAATTGTCGCCAAATTTTTTTAAAGAATACTTAATTTTAATTTTCCTACGCTTCTACTATAGAAAAACAAGTGAAACTTTAGATTAATCTATAGAAAAATACTTAAATTAATGATATAAAAAAAGTATGCCTCGTAATTCAAATTTTTTCCCTCCACTAATAAATGAAACAATAATGAATAATTATTAAAAATTATTTCTTGCATGAAATTATCAACGGGTTTTCGAGTTTTATCAGTGGGTGCAAATTTTTTTTGAAATAGCTCAATTAATTTTAAAAATATGACCACAATCGCAAAATGAGAAAGGGGATCAAACTTTCATCTGCTTTCCTGACTTAACTATAAGGGCCACAGCTTCCATATTGCGGCTAACCCCCATATTTCAAGGGTCAAAAATCCGAATATGTAAAATATATATATATTAAAACTGGAATTTAACACAANGGTAAGTTTCATAAAATTCCATGTGTAATTTCTTGAGTTATCGCGATTTTTGTGAATTTTCCTTAATTTATGATAACCAGTGTATATATATGTTCATTTAGAGAAAGAACGTTTTCAAGTCCAATTAATTAGCATATTCGCCCCCAGAAACCATTAAGATTGACATTTAGTTTGTGAAAATCCGATCATTGAAAGATATTCAGGGAGATAGATACCTCTTATTTTGTTCACTGTATATTAACAAGAGTGATTATCGTCTTGTTTTCGAGCCGCCTTATAGTTAGAACTTTAAAGTTATAAATGTGAGCAATTTATTGTGTATATTCGCAATTTTATATTTTGTAGGTGAGTGTTATCTGTTTATATTTAAGTAAATGGATGCTAAGAGGTTATAAATTTATTAAATCATTTATGCCCACTTAGCTAAAAATGAAGCAGTAGTAATTTACACAGTTACATAAATTAAGCCTTTGTGAAAAGTAAAACAAAGATTTTACCACATCAAAAAGTCCTCCAAAAGCTGAATATCTTTTCTTAAAAATTCCATTCTTACTTTACTGATTTAAAAGGTATAAAAATTCATCAAGTTAGAGGACCCGTTTTGCCACTGTTTTTCACAATATGCTCTCTGTTAATAACTACATCACTTTTTTTCTCTTAAAAAAATTTAAAAGTTTTAACCTCATAGAGACAGTGTGCTAAAAATTTAAACCTATTCTAAAAGCAGTTATAATAAGAATTAACTTATTTTATATTAATTTATTTATAAGAATTAACTTATTTTTTAAAAAATTGAATAGTTTTAAAGAAGAAAAATTATTTCTTGGTTTATGTAAAAAGGAAACATGAAAATGGTATTCAAGTACCAAAGCCAAAAGAAATGAGTCTGCTTGACGTTCAATTAGACTTTGTTCAAAGCTTAAAACTAGAAATATTTCAAAATATATTATAATAAATTAAAATTTTTCAAAACTTTTATACAAAATCAAGATGCAAATAAAAATTTTTTCCTTGAATGTTTCAATTTTAATACCATAACTTAAGTGTTGCACAAAAAATGTAGTAATGTATTCAATTAATATGTTGACTATAATTGTATATGTTTTATAGTGTTAATGCCGGCCTTTTGCTTAATATTTCTTTGTTTTGCCACCGTTAGAAATGTTTGTCAACATATAGATGGGTATTTTTTGCAAAAATAATAATAGTAATAATAAATTTTTTTCTGTATTGTTTCAGCAAATTGGCTCACTGGAAATCAATACAAAAAATTCAATGGGGTTTGCGTTCCTTTCAAAAAAAAAAAAAAAAAAAAAAAAAAAAAAAAAAAAANAAAACAAAAAAATTAAGATCAGAAATTAAAACATGCATTTATTTTTTGGAAGATTTTTATTGCTTTCATAATAGCCTAAAAATCTGTACATATTTATAATACTTCACATATGGAAACAAAATAAAAAAAAAACTTATAAATACTGAAGAGTTTGAAAAGTATACATAATTAGTAGATATTATTTTTATGCTTCATTTTGCTAGAAACGTTCTTTAGAAATAAATAAATAAATAAATAAAATGTATGAATAAAAATGACAGAACAAAAGCACACATTACAAATTTAAGTTCTCTCTTTACAACAAGTATTTAGAATAAAATTAAATATTATTAGTTTAAGTAAAGTATTAAGTAAGAAAATCCTTCTCAATCTTTATTAAACAGATAATAAAACTTTGGAATAACAGACTTACGACTAATTTACATTTCAATATAACAAATTACAATATATTATTTTGACAAGAATCAAGCATGTAGACATCAACATGATATAAATTTCAAATTGCACATTATTAACAAGGCATCTGCTAAAATGAGAGTTTCCAAGTTCATGACTTGTGCAAACAACTTTCCATGGCTTACAAGTGACTAATTTTTCAGATAATTTGCTTATTTTTGCTGACAAGGGGAGGGAGTCTTAAAAAACAGTAAAAAATATGCATATGAAATATTTGAACAACCTCAGCATTTTTCAAAATATATTATAATATTTAGAAGTAAAATTAAAAACTACAACAGGGCAAACTTTTCAATAGCGCATGTTGCTCTAGACAACATATCAAAAACATTTTAAATAAGGAAATGGGCAAAATAACACTAATAACTAAATAGATCAAAACAGATGGAGAATTGAATGTAATGTAATATGGTTAAACATAGTGAATCAATAAAAATCGAGCTAATAAATAAATAAATAATTTAAATAAATTGCAGCTTATTTTAAACTACATTTGAAAAAAAGGAAGAAAAAAGATTTAAAAATAACACTAGACAATTATATTGAAATGGTTTGAAAAACAAATGCAACAATGTTAAACCAATAGCTACTGCAACAAATTGAAGGAAATTGCACTTATAAATAAATATATTTTGAACTAACAATATCAGAAAAAAGTTAATTGAGAATGTAATAGTGCTCTTCTGTGATGGATCAATCAAAATTGCGCTACTAAATAAATACTTATATAAAATACGAAAAATTTCTAAAAATATTTTTTTAAAAAAATAAGCAGAATAAAATTTAATAACACGTGACAACTCATTATATTAAAATGAATAGGAAAACGAACGAAATTACTCTACAATGGGGGCAGGGGTAACATTATTATTTTGTACAACAGACAGGAAAAAAAAATCAGTTTTAGCAGGATTAAGTTTTCCAACACACAAAATCCATAATGAATAGGCAATAACTATAATTTTGCAGTTTTTATCATTCAAAACAGGACTATCTATGACAAATTTTGACCATTGGTGAAATCCATAACTTTCTATGATTTTAAAGGTATGCGGATACCCTGTAATAAATAGGTAGCAACTCAATAATTGCAATGAAAAACCAGATTTACCCTGTTACATAGAAAACCAATAATAAGAAATAGATAATTTTAATTCACAAACATAAAATTGTAACCATTCAATAGTAGAAACAAGAAGTACATTTTAACAACTTATTATTTCTTAAACTTTTTATTAATTATAATATAACAGGAAAATTGACAATTTTTGGAAACATTTTAAACAGAAATAGTACAATAAGAGATCATAAATTTTATCTACAACTTATATTTTCTACTTCAAACAAATTTTACACAAAATATTAACTTTCATCATAAAAAAATTGTAATAAGATTATAAGAAAAAAATTTACTAAATACTTCAGGATCATTAACAACCTATTTCAATGAGTATAATTATAAATGGGAATATCAGATCTATGTTTGCATTCAGAACACTAGCAGTGATTAATCATGCTTCTGTACATGAAATATCAATAACCCATTTCAAAGGCACATAACAGAAAATGCAGATTTGATGATAATGTACTCAGAATATTTACAAGTGTGGTGTGAGGAAAATTTCAGCGGGAAAAAATATTGCTGCAGGGTATAAAAGTGTACATGATTCTGAACTATTGCATAAAAAATAGCATTTTCAGAAGAATAAATTTATTAAAAAAATTTTTGTCTTTACAAATATATCAGCATATAAAAATATCAATTTTAATTATTATGAATTGAAGTTGTTAAAAAGGAATCTGAAGCTGATGGGCCAATAGAAAACTATGCCCATATAAGAAATGTAATACAGAATATAATTATAAAAAAATTCAGATCTATTGCACATTTCTTTGTAAAAAATGTTCAATTAAGAAAAAAACAAAAAATACAAAATGTTTTTATGCTCAATACCTTAAAAAGATTGGATACATTACTTTTAAAGCATTTTTAACTAACATTAAATAATAATAATTTCATGTGCAGTAGATTACATAATTATTTAAATACAAAAATACAATGTAAAAATGAAATGTGGGTCATTCCATATCATTTCAAACAGTTTTTTACAGATCCTGTGGCAGAATCGTAGCGACAATGTTGCAGAACGTTACATAGTTCTTGCAGAAATATTTTTTTTTTGAAAAGTAAAAAAAATTTTCTACAGAAATTTACACGTAATATTTGAATCGTGCATTTAGATAATAACTTTTTGACGAGATCAATTTACACCAATATTATCATAATTTACGCCGATACCAGCGTTTTTAGCAGTTATTGATTTTCACATGGATTTTAAATACCCAGCTATATTTCAAACAATGTGGAAAATTTGCATCGTGCATTTGAGTATTTACTTTTTAAGGCAATAATTCTATGGAATTTTTCGCAGTTATTGCAATGCTATTGATTTCTCCATAGTTTTTAAATCTGATATTTTTTATAGGATATTATTTATAACAACAACCTAATTTCGAAACGAAACACGCACTTAAGGAGTCAATCTTTTTTCGGCAATTGCTACTACGGATTTCATGACTTTTTTAATTGTGATGCTTATTTACAAAATGTGAAGAAGGAAATAATTTGTGCGTCCCCCCAACAAAATGCCAGAATATCACCCATAATATTATAATAAAAAATTATTACATGTTCAATTAAAAAAATATATATAATTTATCTTTTGTATACACAGTCCTTTTGTTATTTTAAATTAGTAACGTATATTTTTGTTATTATTAAAAGTATCTTGCAGAAAGATCTTAGTGCTAGAGAGTTTTGTCGCAGATAGCTCGAAAAAATTCTGATTACAGGGGTTATAGAGTAACTCAGACTTAACTAAAGATTTGAACTAACTAAACATTTTAATTTTAGCCAAAGATAAAATTCAAAAACAAGATATATTTGCTCTAAAATATTTCTCAGAATGTCACAGTAAGATCAGGAGAAGTTTATGTTTCTCACAATCTAAAAGATTGTTCCATAATTGATGATTGTAGTTAATTAATACAATACCATTTCAGACAAAAAATAAAGTGAAAACATTTTTAACAGTAATGAAAAAATCTTCCAAAATCTATTCATTGTTGAAGCATAAATAATGTGACGATGATAATAATCTGAATTAATTTGAATATTCATATTTATTTCAGAAGATTGTGTCACAATAACTTAATCAGTTTAAAAAAAAACTGCCATATAAAGGTAATAATTCTAAAAATTTGTAAGTCAATTTAATTTACAACATTTTTAGCTTACATAAAGCACAATGAGTTCAAAATTGTATTGAAATACTCTGCATTGAACTACCTAAAAAAACAGTTCTTCATAATTGTTTTATAAAGTGAAGAAGTAAATGTAATTTTAAGTTTTCTCAAGTAATATAAAAGTAATAAAAAGGAATAAAAGGTTTTAAAAAGGAATAATAACAAAAACATAGAGCTTTAAATTATATTGAGATTAACCTTAAAAACAGTGTTCACAACTGCCAGTCAAACAAGTGAATGAAAATTTTGAAACGTAAAACACATATTTTCATTTAGATTACATTTACAGAAACGCATAACATTTACAGAAAATTAAAATATTGATTGGTATGATTATTTCCCTTTTCTATAACAATTTCATTCAGATTACATTTACAGAAACACATAACATTTACAGAAAATTAAAATATTGATCGGTATGATTATTTCCCTTTTCTATAACAATTTCATTCAGACTACATTTACAGAAACACATAACATTTACAGAAAATTAAAATATTGATTGGTATGATTATTTCCCTTTTCTATAACAATTGCAGTTGGTTCACTGTAGATTTTGTTTTGGGGTCATTTTTCAATTCTATTTAAGTGAATAAACAGTATTATTTAAAAAAAAAACATGATATAAAAAAATATTATGCAATTTATAACAACTACTCAATTAACTCAATTTATAATAGAATAAAATGGTCAGATAGCGAACTTGTTATATTAAAAATTAAATTTTAATTGCTTTATATTACCTTTGCAGGCTGACTGTTTTCTTAACACCTTGTAGTATAGAAACAATGTTCAACAAAAATGAGTTATGTGAAGAAATAACACAGATTTTCTTACATCTTTTACAGGAGCATAAATATATTAAAAGCAATGGTGGGAGATAAGTGTTTTATTTTAGTTTATTTGAAGTGGAATGACCCAATGAGATCTGCCAAAGTAAGAAAGAATAAAAACTGCTTGAAAAAGAATGGCAGATTATAAGTATAAAAAAATTGCTACCTGCTGAAGTACTTGCTTCAAAGTACTAACTCAGGCAGCTTTTACTACAAGACTAGATAACAATTACTGAAGTTTAAGTAACAATATAATTTGCAATTAACAATGTAATAAACTTGAGAATCTATATGGACACACCACTCACTAAAAAATTCAAAATATAATTAACTTGAGCACCACAGTTTGAAAGCTGGAGTGAATCTGATGAATAAATTTTCCTTCAGTTTTCATAAATGTATCAAAAGTACATATAAATGTATGTATAAAAAACAAGCCTTTCTCTTCACATGGTATGGTATGGTTGAAAAGGAGAAATCTGCCACACGCAGGTACTAGGGTAGATAATGTATTCATTTTCACTTTGATAATTTGCTGATAACCCGAATAAGAGCTTTGTTTTCGTTACTTAATCGCTCATTGTCAGCCTTAAGTTTTTCAATTTGCTGTAAAAGAAAATTGCTCATTTAAATATGTACATTCAAAATGAAAGAAAAATTATTAAGAATTTATTTCTTTGAAAAATTGCATTCGAAAATTAAATAAAAATTATGCATGACAAAGAAAAAGTAGCTTGGCATTTCACTTTATTCACAAAAGCAGCCCTTAATAAATTAACCGTTGCTCAACAAACATACTTAAAAATATTTAAAAAATAATGAAAAAATATGGTAGTGTTACAAATGATTAATCTATAGTTAAAAATACAAATGTATAATAAGCAACTAATTTAGAGCTTTGTTAAACATAAATTATAAATAAAAAAAAGTAACCACAAAGTAGTTACAGGCAAATTTGTTAAATTACATTTTAACAATGAGATAGTTACAAGAACATCAGGAGAGCACCATACACAAATTCAACTGTCATGTAACGAGCAGTTTCTATATCAATCATGCACATTCCTAATAAAAGTAATTTACCTATTTGGATAATTTGCACACCATTCGTGACAGTGCTCGATTTTCAGCTTTAAGCTTTTCATTTTCAGTCTTTAATTTTGAAACATTCTGTAAGAAAATTATTGTGCAGTGTTTGAAGCTATAGTAGAAATATTACCAAACAGGAACACATCAGACAATGATAATTCCTTGTCTCATTGAAAGTAATTAGCACTAGTCTATGCTTCGAAACAGACAATACACGACCATTTTAAGCTACAAAGAGCATAAACAATGCTAAGCACTGCAACAGCAACAACACCTATACAATCTGAAAATTGCCCAAAAAGCAGCAGCAGTAATAAGCCAACAATTAGTAAAAGTAAAAAAAAAAAGCCTTCAGTATTACATTGTTTGTAAATGAAGATCAAATTTCAAAATCATTTAGAATGAATTAAACTGTAGAGCAGAATACAAGCTTGCAATGAAGATAGAAACCTAAGCACTTTATCTGTTAAAAAGCGTTTCTTTTTTTAAAGAATAAAAGAAACAAATCACTAGAAACAGTTAAAATTTCTTAGAAAAAAATATGTCTAATAGAGCCTTTTAACAACATTTCCATTTAATATTTAAATCTATAAAAGCAATGAACTTTTACCAATGATCCATGCCACTTTGAAGAAACTAAAGAATTTGCCGTGAATTTCAGAAATCTGTTACAAACAGAAAAATGGCCCTTTTGATATTCAAACATAAAAAGGAAAATTTCCTATTGTGTTTTCATAGTGAATAAAACGACAAAAAAAACTAAACAGATTTAAAAATAAAGAAAAATCCATGTGTTCAGAGATTGTACTAATAAGAAGCATATACATATCACTTTTATGTGCATACCAAATTTATTTTTGACAAGGATAAAGTGCAAAGCAAATAAACTTATTCTATAAATTAAGCTTAAAATAGGTTATATTCCACATGGCATTTTAAAAAGGTTACTTTCAAACAAAAGTTATACTAAAGCTTTGTTTAGTAAGAGCTTTTCTAAGCAAGATAAAACATAAGAAACAAATAATAACAATAGCAAACCTAAATAATCAAAGTAATAGAGTGTAAATTCTCAAGAGAAAAAAATTATGAAGAAATTTAAACCTCTAATAGAGATGATTACCAAAACTTTTTTTAAAACTGTTTTATAAAGCAATTGGGCATTTATATTTCATTCAAATCTGATTAAAACTAAAAACATGCTTATTACCACCGAATCTAAATCTTACAGGTCTTAATCTTATTCTAGTAATGATAGATTCCTTAAGCAAAAATAATATTTTTCAGCATGCTTATCTTTCTTCACAAGTTTTGATTGTCATATTGAGAAAGAAAATATGGCAATCGATGTGTACAGTTAATTTTTAAAAAACTTTAGCATTATAAAAAATATGTTTTTAATGCATTATAATTCATATTTAGCTCTTATTAAAACATCTGGTAAGTCAAAGTTAATTTTAAAATAAAGAATTTTAATAAAATATTTTAAAGTCAAAATGTTTATTTTCACTAATCCCTTTTTTTTGTCCCATGGTATCTATTGTATTTTCATCGATTTTATGTAGGATTAGATAGAGATAAAATAAATAAAGATGATTGAGATTGTTATTTTTTAATTTAAATTGTTTAAAAATGTTTATAAATTATAGTTATTTTAAGAATAAAAAATAACAAGCTTAGCATTACTTGATATAAGGCAGAGTAGTAAACAACATAAAAACAGTCAATTTTTATGTTTTCACATAAACATTGCATCCAATTTAAATACACAAATTAAATTCAATACCATTTAAAAGAATAAATTAAAAAATTCTTCAGAATATTAGAACATAATTGTAAACTGCATTTTGATCACTCTAATTTGAAACTAACTTTCACAATGCCTGATGGAAAATCTCTTACGTTTCAATTCAACTGAAAGACGTCAAAAATGACAAATCTATCAAAGACGGGTAGTTCGCCTGGCCCCGAGACATTCTAATCCAACAAAGTGTTTGTGTTATTTTGTTATGATGATCTGGTAGTAATAATGAAACAAAATATACTTATTCATTCTTTAATTTTATTGATTTAATTCCTCTGATTTATCGGACTGCACTATACGTTGTGCAAATTGAGAAATAATATCAAAAAAATTTGTGTTAAAAAGGTAACTAAATCAAAGCAACTAATATAAAAATTTAATAACCTTCTCTTTCCTTGTTTTATTTTTTCAAACAAAATAAGTATGTAAAATATTACCTTTCCTAAACTTAGGAATAATCCAAGAGTTCTATTGTTTTATATGTGCATATTAAACTTTTCTCTTACATGGAAAGTTTATCAGAATATTTTAATATCTTCAACAAATTTGTTTACTATATGTCTTAAACTGAAGCTATTATCAAATATAAAATTTTTGTTAAAGAAACACATTTAATACAGACAGTAATTTATTTGATAACCAAGAGAATTTCAGTTAAAATTTTATCAATACACATTTTGTAATTTTTATTATTATGAATTCATAAACAAAAGATGATTGAAGAAGTAAGTGCAGATGCTTATTTGTTATTAATATGCATGCTGATAATTTATCTGAGTTCCTAGATCTATAAAATCTATCCTACTTAATAATTCTTGGTTTAGCGTTATTTAGTTGTTAATAATTTATTTGCGTTATTTAGTTGTTAATAACTTAGAACTTGTTTAGAGTAAAATGTTTTTGTAAATTCCATATTTTACTGCATTTAACTGTTGCTTCCAGATATTCAGGTTATATAACAAAATATGCTCTACAATTTATGAATTTTGAAATAAAAATAGTAATCTAATAACAAAATACTATGTCCAATTTTTTTCATTATTTTTTTTCATTTATTTACGTAGAAAAGTTGGTTTTGCATCAAGGACTTACCAAAGTCTTAATATAAAACATGTTCGACAATTTCAGAAATACAGTAATTGATTTTTTAAACTTATATGTTCATTAAAAATATTCGCATGATGTATAAATTTCTTTGGCTGTTAAATTTTATTTTTCTTAATTTTTACTGTAGAGTTAGTTGTAAAATTTTTTGTTATAACTAACTATGGTACAGAATTTAGTTTAACTTGAATATATAGGATATGAATTATTTTGATGCCACGTTTTATGAAGTCAAAACTGATCCTTGAGTGCATTTCAAAATGTGTCAAATTCAACTGTTTCTGTCTTTTAATAAACATATCTTAAAAGTATGTTTGTTTATAAAATATTTATGTAGATCTTATGTTGAGTTAATTTTATTCACTTCATAAAATTTTTTTTTTATTTTATGTTAATTATCTTATTCTGTGCACACTGTTCCAAAAAAATTAGTTAAGGTATTTGATAATATTGAAAAGAATTTTAGTTATGCAATTATGTTTAGTTGATATATATTTAGAAATAGACTGGAAAATGTAGTTACATTCTTTGGCATCTTGATGATTGTAGTTGGCGCGAATAGGTACTTATACTGAAAAATTTAAAATGGTAACTTTCTGGGTTTATCATAATTCATTTTACTTGGTATTTTTTGTTTTAGATTTAATGTTAGACATTTTAACAGCTAATGACCTACAGGTCTAAAAAAACCTTGGTTAAACTAATTAAAAAAAAAATTTCTGTCTTATTTTTTTGTGAACTTATTTCATTACAGACAAACTGCTGTTTCTGGATGTAAACTTATTAAGAGAATTTATGAAACTTAACTGCTTGGTAATTTATGCTTTTGTGATGGTGGGATTAAAAAATTTCCATACACAATAGCAGAAATTTGTTGACTTATTTTAATACACATAATGAAATCCAGTATATAATTTTTGCCTATATCCGAAGTTGCATAGACTGTGTTTTATTGTTAGGTAATAGTGTTTAAAATTTATTAAAATTTGAGTAATTATTCATAAAGTTATCAATTTTTGCATATTTTGCAATTATTTTTTATTAATTATGATTTATTGGTTTATTTATTGTAATGTATTAAATGAATTGTACATTTAGTTGATGGCTTGTTTTATGTGTGTATAAAAAATTCATAAATATCATGATCAAACTTTAAATTGGCTTTATTGTATGTAAAATTCACACTTACAAATAAAATACTAATTTTCATAAATAAATAATATTAAGCATGAAAACTCAAAACAAATCTTAGATAATATGCCAAAGGTATTTCTCAATAGATATTTTTTTATACAGATTTCATTATTTATGTTACCTAATGTAAATTTATGAATTAAAAATAATCTTAAGAATTTATAGTTGTTAATTTTCAAAAAATTAAAAAAAAAAAAAAGAACAACTTTACAGTTTTTCTAATATTCAGTACTCAAAATCATGAAAAAAATTCACAAGCACTTCCAAATGCATTTATAGTTTCTGTGTATTTATTTTAAAAAATGAATCTGGAAAATTTTCAATAGAATTTTCATTTTCATATTTTGATAGCTTAATACTATTTCACTTGGGATTTACTAATAAATTTGAGTTAAGAAATTAGCTCTTTTAATTTTATTGTTAAATAATATATTTTTTTTAAAAGACAAATAATGAAAATCGAAATTAATATTTAAAATTACTAAAAAATACATACCATTGGTATTAAAATATTACTAAGGAAAATCTAACTAAGAAAAATCAGTAAAAAAGATAAAAATATAGAGAAAAAAATAATCATCAGTCTTTGATTCAAGCTTTAATACACGAGATGCCATTAATGTATAATTTTCTTGTTTACTTACTGTACAAAATATCTGATTGGATAAAAATATTTTGACATCATAGTAGATTGTAGGGAGAAATGGATAAAAAAAAATCCCTGTCTTCAACGTAAGATTCGAGCCAAGGGTTTCACTTGAATAGCTATTTAAGGCAAGAAGAGTAATGTCCTGAATTTATGACAGCCATAGCTGGCGAGTGGCGTGTCTTAAGTCATTCAGTTGAATTCCAGCCTAGAATTTCAAGATTTAATTCTAACATTTATGACTCCCACCTACTATCTAAGCAAGACCTGCATGCAACTGTGAAACAATTTCAGTCTTTTTTATGCTTTTACTATTTTAAAAAAGTTTATTTTTTATCTAGTCTTCGTTTTAAAATTAACGCCTGTCGCACACAATAAGTAAAGTATTATGCTTGATTACTATAAGGAAAAAATACTTCCCTGCCATTTTAAAGCAATGAACAGGAAAAAGAAAACAAGATAAAGAATCTTCTAGAAGCCAAGTTTTTAAATGCAAACATTGTTTTATTACTTTCATTCAGAAATGCTTCATAGTGCACCTAATATGTTCCAAAAAAAAAAAAAAAAAAAAAAAAAAAAAAAAAAACACCCGTCATTTAGAAAAAGTAAATGAAAAGATTATCTTTCTTTAGAAAATTTTGAATTTGTTTTGCAAGTTTTTAGCACTCCCTATTTGTCAAACTAGTCACAGATGTGAGAAGAATACAGGTGAGATTTCGCACTTGTCTTCATCAGTTTAGCTTTTTAATCTAAATAAATCACTACTGTAGAAGTATCAAGTTAAGAAGTATGAAAAAATAACCAAACATAGTAGGGTGCAAATTCTCATTAACTGCATGAAACATTTTATTAATAAAGTTTTATTTTTAATGTCAATATTTCATTTGACCTTTTTAGGGGATGGACAAAAGAATGGAAACACATCTATACTATTATATTTTCTTCATATTTCTCAAGAAATACTTAAAGAATCTTTTTATAACTTCAGAAACATTTAGATCATGCAATTTCTCCTACTTATCAATGAAATTCAAAGCTTTCAGAGGTTTGAAGGATCAACAATAAATTACAAACAGAAAATAGCGTTTTTGAACACCCTTTGTCAAAAAATGTAGCAATAAATTTATAACTTGTAACAATTACTTTGGTTATTATATGGAATAATTGCCCACAATTTTGTAAGCCTAGTTTAAATATTTATGGAGATATAAGCATTTTTACAAAAATTAAATTTTTTACAAAAGCGTTTTTTTGCTATAACTTTAAAAATATTTAATAACATTAAACAAAATTTTGAAAGCAATTCAAAATTAATTCCAAAATTTTGGCTTTAAAATTTCAAAAAAAGAAGTTGAACACTGTGCAATATATAAGTAATTAAAGAAGTACTTTTATACTGTGCATATGCAAAAAAAATTTCATACTTTTGTAGTGACTCTTATTTAGCAACTAATGAAAAAAGTCCAATTTGAATACCTTAAAAATTTAAAAAGTTTCAAGCAATTTTCTAAGTAGTTTCGCACTTTAAAAAAAAACTCAAAAAGATAAGGAGTTTTCTACAAATATTATTTTGTATTATAAGACAAAATTCACAACTAAATATGATTGTATAAGGAAAGAAAATTTGCCCAAAAAAAAGACACTTTTATGGAAGATCATTCCCAACAATGCCAGTATCATTTTTAATAAATCTTGTTAATAGCACAAATAAAGTATATGGAAAACCCCTCATCATTTTGAGCTTTCTTTGTAAAAGTACGAAAACTACTTAGAAAATTGCTTAAAAACTTTTTAGATTTTTAAAATATTGAAATCGGACTTTTTTTTATTAGTTGCTAAATATGATTCACCATAAAATAAAGAAAAAACAGATTTAAATTTTTTCCATGCATGCGCTGTATAAAAGGACTATTTTAATTACTCATATCTTGCACAGTTTTAAACAACTTTTTATCAAATTTTACAGCAATAATTTAGCAATTAATTTTAAATTGCTTCAAAAGTTTTTTAATTTTATTGAATATTTTTAAAGACAAAAAAATTAGTTTTTTTTTTATAAAAATGTCGCCGTAAATGTTTAAGCTAGGTTTATGAAATTTTGTGCAATTATTACATAGAATAACGAAAATTAAAGATCAAAAAATATGTTAGTATAGAAGTGTTTCCATTATTTTGTCCAACCCCTGTACCTGACAATATTTCGTATTTACTGATAGTTTAGTACTGCTAAGCAGAAACCAAAATGCATTCCTGATCTGCCTACATGCTCAAAAGAAATCGGCTTACATGTTAAAGTTCTAAAACATATATAATAAAAACAGAAAATAATGAAAAATACCAAAATATCAATTATCGTAACTATGAAAAAAATTACTATGGAAGAATAATATAATTAAAATGCCTGGAATAGCTAGTTACATAAACTAATAAGATTCTAGGAATTAAAACAAGGATAGCTGCTGGAAACAGATGTTATTATTCTTTACAAAAAATTTTAAGACAGTATACATTAAATTTCAAATTTTTATTTATAGAGCAATAATTAAACCAATAGGATCTAAGACATGGACTCCAAAGGAAAATTTTATGGAAGATTTTCAGTGACATTTGTGAAAATGGGCATTGGAAGATCAGAACAAATAAAGAGATTTATGGCAAATATAAGAGACCAGGCATAGTAACAAGGATATGCATAAAAAGAATCCAAAGGCTTGGACATGTCCTAAGAAAAGACTCAGAAAAAGATTATTAGAAGAAAAACTGGGAGGGTTGAGATCCAAAGGAAGACCTAGAACAAATGGAAGGAGCAAACTGAAGAGGATGCAAAGATGACGTAAACGCAAAGATAGAAGATATATTTTCCTATATCCTGGCTAGAAATTATTTTAAAAGGTTGGTTATACTAGAATTTCAGAATAATTTCTTTTCTTTTGGGGTAAAGGGTCCTGAATATGTAAAAATGATAAGATTAATGTGCAGCGGAAAAGTCTAGTATTGACCGTTTCAAATTTTTGTGTAGCTTTTCCCAATTCACTGCTTAATGCCAAGTGATAGAGTGGCTCTTTAAATTTATAGTTTTGTCTATGACACCCAGATGTATCTTTTTTCTTCCTGTTTCTTTATATTTATGTCTTGGATGATTAAAACTAGTTATTTTATGAAGTACATTTGCTCAGGAAAGTATTTTGTTTCAGTTATTTATTATTATACAGAATTTACACTTAAATTTTCGAGCAAAACAAGCTTAACTTTTAGACTAGTAAAAACAGTATGTTCACATTTTAAAATTACTAGTGGGATAAAAGTTGCTTTGAAAGATAGCTTAGAACAAGAAAAATTATACACGTATCAATAATTGTATAGAAATACTAAATATGGTCTAACTAACAATATCTAAATAGAAAATATATACATACATTGCAATGCTTTTAGTTTTGTTACTTGTAATGAAAGTAAAAATCATGTACGTTTGCTTATACTTTCTTACTTATAAAATTTAGTACTTTTAGTAGCTTTTTAGTTACTTTTTTCATTGAAAAAGTACAAGTATTTGTAGCAAAAATGTAACATATTGAAAAATATTTCTTTAATACATATTCAATATGACATATCTATATTGCAAATTGAAAAATTAATATAATTCAAAATTTGAAAAATTCGTTCATTAATGAAAGATAACTCTTAATTCAGTTCAGGCATATGAATACAATTTTTATATTTAATTAATTTTTTAAAACAAAAGTTATAATATTAATCGAGTTTGTCTCACAAATAAATTCATTACTTGTTGGCAATTACCAAAATTTCTAAAGATTTGGAATTTAAAACAAAAATTAAGATAAATTTAAAAAATTTTTTGCTTATGCAAACTTTGAATTTTGATTTCTTGTTCTCTATTTCAATGAATTATTTAAAATTTTTCTACATTTAAATTAAATTTATACATTTAAATAAAATTTATAACACTTAAATTAAAATGCAATATATTTTCAATTAAATTTTTTATACTTTGTTCCTTCATTTGTTTATATTCATGGTTATTTTGAATTTTTGATTTCTTCAAAAAGTACATTAAAATCAGAACTTTTTTATTTATACTTTTTGCTCGTTACTTTTCAAAATTAAAATTTTAACATTTCACTTGTCACTATTGCTTTAAGTATTTGCACTTTTACTTGTTACATTTAAAAAATAATGTTCCCATGTCTGTATATAGTTAAAAAAAAGATTATCTATAGTCAGGAGGTTAACATTGTAAGTTGAAAAATTAATCTAAAAGTAATATATTAATCTTAATTTTGAGTAAAAAGGTATTGGCCAATCAAATGTAAACACCTTATTAAGGTTTTTATAAATTTGACCAATATTTTTAACAGTATACGTTAAAAACATATACTGTTAAAGATATAGCATCGTCCAAAATAATCAAATTCATAAAAAAATTTAAAAACAAAAAAATTTTGCTTTAAAACTTTTTTTTGTGTTGAAATGTCAGTCCTTGTAGCTTAATGCTCTTTCAAATCTTTTAAAACCTCCGGAACCATTGGTGCTGGCATTCTGAAATTAGGACATCAACTACAAGGAGCAATTTTAGTCCCCTATCCGAAGAATTATTTAAAAATTTCCATTAGTCCATTTTTAAGAGCTGTTTGAAAAATGATTTCTTCAGCATAAGGCTTTATTATAAATAAAATTGCAGACGATTTTGTTTAAGATTTTATTGCGTATTCATAAAATGTTTACTTATTTTTACAAGCTCAGTTATTAATTTGAATGGCTGGCAGATCAATGCTACGAAATTGAATTAGTATTCCTAAAGTTATCAGAAAACACATGTTTGTTTTGCTTATGGCTGTGTTTCTAAAACGTGCTTCCATAGAATTAAAATATTATAAATCAACAGTAATTGAAATAAAGAAAATATGTTTTGTACTAAAAACAATGCCAATAGAGAAAAAGGTACTGATTCATGAAGAGGAACTGCAAACTAATCACCATATATTATTGGCCCCAATAATGCTTAATTACAATTGGTAATTAGTACTTCTGGTATTTTGGTTATTGCTGAAATTTTTAACAGGTACAAAACATAATATAGGTACTCCTGTACTATGGTAATAGGTTTTTCATAGTGGATCAAAATGGATATGTACAGGAGAAAATTGCTTGATTGCGGCTATTATTTTTTTCTGTTTAATTTATCATTTCATATTGATCACTTTTAGTCAGTGTTTCAATAAGTTATAATTGACAGTAAAATTGGTGTTTTCTTATAATTTTTCCCCCTTGACTAATAAAATTTTTTAAAACAGTAATATTTCATTATGGCTTCACAAAGAAAACTAATGGGCTTTGAAATGACGACTTTCAGATTTAAAAAAGGCTGCAAATTTTTATTACGCCAAGGGCACCCAATATGCTAGTTACACAACCGTGAATTTCTTGTGGGGGTTAAACTTGGGTTTGACTTTAAAAAATCAACTAAAACCTTAAAACTATAAACAGCACCAGATAGAATTGCATATTTAAAATACTTAAGGTACTGTCAGCATCACACACAAAAACATGAATAAAATCATGCATTTTGAAAACCAAAATAATTAATTATATCGAAAGAATTGTAATAATTATTATTCATTTCTCACAATCGACATATAATTAAACAAACTAGAAATAAGTTGTTGATAAAACCAAGCAAAATTAATTAAACATAAAATAAGTAACATGCAAAAGAAATTAACAACATATTTACCTTAACTTCTTCTTCCATTTCAGATATTTTTCTTTCTAGACTTCTTCGTTCCTACAGTATGATTAGAAACAGTATTTTAGTAACTTTACATATAATGTACCTTACACAGTACAATAAGATTAAGGATTTTAAAAAATACTTTTGCTTACTAAAAATTTTATTAAAAATATCTAATGTTTTATTATATAGATAAACGGCATCATGTAATGACTAAGTGGTCATTGTTTGGATCAGACTAACCAACTTAACAACATTTGTCTGACATTTCTTCAAAATTATAGAAAAAGATTTTTGGGTGAAAAAAATTACTTATGAATAATTGTAGAAAAAAGTTGTTTACTTGTTAGCAATATTTTATTTTGACTAGTAAAAAATACATTTTAAGACTAATTCGAAATTTTTAAATTATTAGATTTATTAACATAAAGTTTTTTTGACTTGTTCTACAAATTTTAACAAAGTTGTTTTGTTATGTCTTAATTTAAAAACTATGCTTCACCATTAATCTAACAAATGTGATCACTTTATTATAATGCAACAAATTGATAAATGAGTTTAAAATAACAATGTTTTCAACAGTAAACAATATCATTTGAACAAAAATAGTTTTTTTACAGCATTTTATTAGTTTGAAAAAAAAAAACAGGACTTAGTTAAAATTTATGTTTATTCAGATAATAAATTAGTGAATAAAGTAGGATAAAATATTATAAGCTTCCTTTCTGAACCTACCTTTTTCTCAATTTCACTCAGTGAAGACTTTGAAGTATTATTCTAAAAATAAATCATGTTATTGAAAATCAATTTGAAAGTTGAAAAAAAAAACATTGAAAGAACTTTAAATTACTATTTATAATTATTAGCATCAATATAATTTGGTGATGAGCAAGTTTGGTCATTCAAATTTAATTTTACTCCCAAATAAAATAATTAAATTCATATAAATTTAATAAATAAAATTAATATTAAAGAAAAAAAAGATTAAATTAGTATAACAAATTTAGATTATCCAATTCAGCATTTGCACCAGCAATAAAACGAACTTATGCGACATCTATTCTCCAATCCAAAGCATGAGTCAGTTGCTTTTGCCACATTTAAGCTATCTGGCAAAGTGCATGAGTTTTTAGGATGAATGTTGGATTTGTCAGTGTTTCCCCCCAGTTTCGATTCGATTTCATATTTTTTTTGGGCCAGGTGCAGGCACAAATCAGTTATTTAGCGTAAATTATTTATTAATTTTGAGGAATAGTTCATTTTCTTTCATCTTTTGTATTTTGCTTCCGCCAACAATGTTTGTTAACAGAAAGATGTGTCGGCAATACAGTGTCACATACTTGAAGTTTGGATTTGTTCAATCACCGTTAAACTCTCAACGACATATATGTTTACTTTGTAACGAAGTTTTATCTAATGAGGTAATGAAACTGTCCTATTTGCAAAAAATTCATCCTGACAAACCAAATAAAGATTTGTCATTTTTCGCGAACAGCAAGGACAAGTTTCTGAAGGCACCTTCTGTCTCAGGTTTTCCAGCAAGCTCATCGCAAAATGCTACGAATTTTTCATACCATCAGAGAAAAATTTATACTGCTGGTTGTCAAAGAAGTTTTAGAAACAGTTTCACACCACCCAGCCCCATTCAATGTAATCAAAAATATCCTATTAAGCAACAATACAGTGTGGCAACCAATTAATAAGATAGCTGAAGACGTTGAAGTTTCCTTAGGCAAACTTTTAATAACCAATGAATTTTCCCTTCAAATTTATGAGTCAACCTTGTAAGTAATGAGGCCTTGCTGTTGGCCTACGTCCAGTTTTTCAAGGAAGAAAAAATATTTCAAGAAATGCTTTTTGCAAGAAGCTTGATTGAAGATACCAAACGTGAATCTATTTTTAAAACTGTCAAAGATTATTTTAAAGAGAAAAGTTTAATTTACTATTTATTAAAAATTCTGCAACTCGAAGTAAATAGTTTATTTTTCTCATGTATTTTCATTCTCCGTATTAAATGAACTGAGAAAATATGACAGATGCTTAAAAAATTTGCCTAAAACGAACATTACTGCAACTGCATTTCAAAAACTATATTTACTTATGAAAGGGAACTCCGTTCCACTAGGAAAATGAAAATTAACCACAAAATCCATAAAATAGCCTGTAATATCTATTCAACGTTCTTTTGACGAGTTGAGGCAAAGAAGGGTTTGGTTAGCATCATTCTTGCCAGTTGATACTTTATTAAATACAAGTTCAAGGTAAATGATCGTTGCTCACTTTTTCTTCACTTAGATCCTCGTTGTGCTTTTATTTCGCTTTTTTGTGTACATTGAATTTTATCCGATTCATTGATTACTTTTGAAATGTGCCCCCCCCCTTTTCTTCCATTTTCATACTTCAGCGATTTTTATGCATTTTGCTTTTTTACTGAATCATTAGTTAACTATTTTATTCCAGCGATTTAGTTGAATTTTTCACTGAATAATTTGAACAGAATAAAGTTTTTTCTTTTCCTTTTCCCTCTATTTGTATTTCAATAATTTGATAAGGAAAAATGTTTCCTTTTAACTGAATTTTTTATATTGTGTTTTTTTTTTTTGTAGATATGTTCGCTGTTTGGATATATTTTGCGTTTCAACTGAAGAAAAGTTGTGTTAAAACTGTTATCTTTATTATTTTTTTTTTCATATTTCATTTTTTTTAATATATTTTGCATTTTAACTGAATTATTCCATTAAAAATGTGTGTTTTTTTTTTGCCACATCCTCGAACTGCCCACGATTTGGATATACTTTCAATTTTAACTGAAGGAATTGATCTGAAATACATTTTTTCCTCTTTCCTTTTTTTTTTCTTTAGCAATGTAGTTGAACTTTCTATTTTAACTGAATAATTAAATTACTATTAGGTTTTCTTTTATATTTAATTTTTGTATTTCAGGGAATTTAATACATTATGCACTTTAACTAAATTTAATCGTTTAGAGCTACGTTTTTCTTCCTGCAATTTGAATGTATTTTGCATATTAACTAAATTATTAGTTAAGACCTACTTTTTCTTTTTTTGTTCTGATTTTGTAGTTTGGAGATTTAGTTATATATTTTGCATGTTAACTGGATTATTAATTTACAACTAGTTTTCTTTTCTCACTTTCATTTATAAAATTCAGTAATCTGGATATATTTCCAGATTGAAGGTACTGATATAATAAGTTTTAATAGAATAAGCGGAAACTAAAATTCAGAAACAAGGATAGTCATAAAAAAATTGTGTACCAATTACACATTTGCAAAAAGGAATCATTTGAAGAGCTGAGTGGGTAAATGTAGGTGCAATTAGTGTAGCATGCTTTCACTTTATTTAAGTAACTTATCTTCATTAGTATGGATTATGCTTATATTTTTAATTTAAATTAGATTAATAAAATAGTAGCAGCCTGATAAAAACATAGACATAGAATATTTCCTTGTGATGATGAGGCAAAAATATTTAATGCATCAAAAAAAAAAAGATATTAAAAATGTTTGTAATTGTATAATTAAAGAATAAATCATCATTGCTTTTATTCGTGTTCTCTTATAATTTTTAGAAATCTTACTTAATTTTAAGAAATCTCACACTGTTTTAAGAAAAAAGTGAAAAATTCTCCATTTTTTTTTTCCTGTGATGAAAACCCTGACTCTTAAACTTGTATCAAGAAAAAATTAGGACACAAAGTAAATTAAAAAAAAGTTGTTTAACTTCAGTGTTGCTGGAATGATTCTTTGTTAATACTATTTGAATTAATGCTCAAATAGAATAATAATTACTTGTGACATTTTCTGCAGTTGTTTTTTTGTTTTTTCAAGCTCTTCTTCTGTCTTTTTTAAATTTTCTTTTAAGCAGTCATTCTCCTTCTTGACTTCTTCATAAAGCTACAAAAAGAAAAAATTGTAAATAACTCAAAACTATGAAACATGTAGTAATAATTAACAATGCACCCATAGTTAAAAACAGATATTGATAAAAATAAGAAAATCATTGAACAATATATAATTCTATTTAAAAAAATTATGAAGCTGATGCATATATTCTAGCTAAAAATATTTAAATATTAGAAGGACTTCAACAAACTTTGTTACTCTTATTCTTTAAAAAGCTAGTTATGTGTAAATCATTATTTTACACATAGCTGATATTATATTCAGTAATGTTACCTAAGAGGTAAAAATGTGAATAATTTTTAAGACTTTCGAATTAAAGCATATGTTTTAAATATAATATAAAGATAAGTCTAATTATGCATAGTTAGAAAAGTGTTTGCAAGAAGTTTTTTTATGTTTTTAAACAATTGGATTTGGCACAAAACTAAGCATCACTTATTACATTGCCATCAAAAGTCCCAAGAAGCAAATTGTTTAGAAATTAAAATATTTCAGTGTATCATGACTGGAGTAAGTATAGCTTCAATCAACACTAAACAGAATCATGGCAACTTAACCTTTATGTCAGCCTTATTTTGAACTCATATTTAACCATACGTATGAGTTCAAAAATCATCAAAAGATATGAGAGGAAACTCTTCGATTTCAATGAGAAATGATTTATTTAAAAAATATTTGAAGGGCAAACAATTGCTTTTAAAAATACCTTTGAAACACTATTTGTTTTATAAGTGTTAAAGGGTGTCAAATGTTAAAGGGTTTATTCAAAGACTGAAAAGAGTTTAAACTTTTAATCACTTTGCTGACTTTGAACCATCATGTTTTGAGGGTAAAAAAACATTCTGTAAGAGATAGTACTTTTTACGACTAATTTAACAGTTGCATATTGCTTGCACTAATTAATTAGCATATTTAAGACATGTACATTGAACTGCTTAGAACTTGAAAATCGAATAATTTAATTCACATTTATTAGGTTTTTTTTGTGGGCAGAACATATTAAAGTGAACATCACTACATGCAAGACTCAGAAAATTTAAAATTTATTAAATAAAAAATTTTAATGAAAGAAAATCAGTTGATTATAAATTATAAAAAATAGATAAAAGCATGTTTTTGTAAGATCTGTGGTAATTTGAGAGGATTGTTATCATCATTGAGGAACGTATAATGCGTTTGAAAGAAAAGGGACTATGAAATCAATTATTTTATTCTTATAAATGAAAATGAGGAATTGGGCTGGAATAAAAACAGTAAAAACAATTTTTAACCATAGTTCCCACCAAAAATTATAACACTAAAATTATAAGTTTAAGTTAAAAAACAAAAATTAATACAAATAATTTTTATAAAATATTCTTTTATCTAAAAAATGTACTTTTATCCAAGAGAAGTTTTAGGATTTCAAATTACTGAGGAAAAAATGTACCTCCTGCAGATTAGGTAGCATTCAAACATTGCTTAATTATCTAAAGGGGAAGGGGTTTGTGGTTTGCTTACATGGATATGAAGAAGGGCAATAGCAATGCTTACCCAAGTAGCACAGAGATTTTGTAATATGCTTGTTTAATATTGATCGATATTAAGAACGTCAAAGAATGTGGAAAGTATTTGAGACAGCCAGGCGACAATATTGTAAAGCGTCCATCGATAACTAAATTTCATAAAAAGTTATCAATTAACTCATGTTAGTTAATTTACTTCATAGGAAGCTAATTCAGTGATAAAATTCTATGAAAAAAGTTTAAAAAGCAAAAATTGTTCAAATTTGCTTAAAGGTAAAAAAAAAATCAAAATTAAATATTGTTTTGTAATTATTTGTAAATAAAACTACATATTATGGACCATGTAATGGATGAAGCTGCTTTTTGCATTACGCCGTGAAGAGAGAAGAGGTATACCATTACTTGCTGCAAATTTTTGAAGGTATTAAATATTTTTTAGTATGGTTCATAAAACTATTTAACAATCAATAACAATAAAAATAATCACGTATACATTTAATAATTTGAATGATTTATATACTTAATAATCCGTTTATTTAGTCCATGCTGTAGGCTTAATCTGTAACATGGTGATATCTAGTACAAAATTTTCTAGTGCTTTTAATAATGTTTTATTTCAGATTGAATTTTTTAAAAATTCACAGTATATTATATTTTTTTACTTTTCATCATACAATTATAATTAAATGCAAAGTTTGAAAGCAAAAAACTATTTCTTATTTCAAGTTGCATATAAAAAGTTTTGTTAGTGACATTCTTTTCAATGAATTTTTTTCATATAAGTTGAACTTTTAAGCTTATGTTTAGGTAATTATAAAAACAATCTAATTCAATCAATCTTTAATGTGTGCTGAAAAATCAGTGGGTATATTCTTATTTCATAATCAATTATTTAGTTTTTTTTTTAAAGAAATGCTACGATCATAGATTAAAATTTAACATTTTTATTTACAAAATAAGTATATGGATAGACATTTTGTCTCTCAATGATAATACGAAGAATGAAATAACTGTGCTATCAGTTTGTTTGTTTTTGCATATGAGATCTAGCAAGTTTTATTGCCAAATGGCTGTAATGAGTGAAGTCTTATAGGTTGTTCAAGATATGTAAGTAAAACCATGTTTGGTTAGTTGATAAGGAGTTGAAAATAATGATTCAGGGGTCGAAACCTCGTATTAAAATACAAATAGTGGTGAAAAAGAAGTATGACATTTTTACATTTGTTTTTTGATGAAGCTACCACTTATATTCTACCACTTTAAAATAATAATGAGTAATAATATTTAGTTATAAACATGATTATAGTGCATTTGTTTAAAAAAATAAAGTGAAAATTTAATATTTTTTCGGCTTTAATTTTAATTAAAACTTATGTCTTTTAATTTATGATTGGTAAATTTGCTACTGTTTTTTAAAATTTTCATACGAGACTTTGATCTCTCATAATGTAATAGTAATAGAATTTCTTCCTAACAATTAGTAAGAAAAAAAGTAATTAATTTAAATTTGTAAAATAAAATTTTTTTTTTATCTCTGCATACTGATATGCAGATAAAAAATTAGTAAGTTTCTAATTTAACTCTATATTTAAGTGAACTTGTAAACACTTTAATTTAAAGTAGTTACATCGTAGGGAACATTAAATCGTATAAAGTTTAAAACAAAACTTTGTTTAGCACTTTTGCATGCTGTTTTTTAAAAAAAATTTATACTTAAATTACTTACATTTTTAGCTTTACCCCCACCCCAGAGAAAAATTTACCCCAAAACTGTGTAAAAAGCAAGAATGTGAAGTTAAGATGACTGATAATCAACAGTGCAAGAATGTAAATTCAACTGCTTGGCTTGTTAAATTTTTTTTAATAGATTGGTTCTATCCTTATATAGATCGTTGGAATTGTTTGAAATTTCAAGATACATGGAGGAGAGCTGGAATCAATATTCAAACACTTCAGTAAATTTCAATGATCGGATGCTCAATGCTAACTCAATGGTTCCGGATGCTCAGATTCTAATGACGATAGCCACTTTTAGACTTTTGATTTTACAAGACAGGTATTTTCACTGTTTTTATTTTGTTGATTCTTCTGTGTATAAATATATAACTGCGTACATTGTCTTAGCTCTTTTGTTTCCAAACGCTACTATTTTATTAACTGAACGCTGAAATTTTATTCAAAATAACAAATTCCTATTTTGTTTATTTGGAATTTTGAGTTTTAAAAGTTTAAGTTAGCATGTTTCATAACTGCATTCATATATCTACCAATTTATCAGGAGATTTTTTTAGCATACTTAGTGGTAGTAAGTTTTATACTTTATAATTTTATTATTGATTTAATATATTTGATTTGATTGATTTTATCTACTACTATGTACACACAATAAATGTACACACTTAAATACATTAAAAAGACACAATAATCATGCAGTGAATTGCTTAAGTGTGGGCAAAATTGAGTTAACCTTAATATATTATATCACTTATGCTTTAAATATTGTAAGAAGCTGTTGATTACAGGTCGGCATCTAAGACAATAAAGATGAGATACGAGTAAAAAATTTTTTTTCAACATTGTCTTTGTTGCTGCCAAAAATTGTCTTGTGAGTTAATGCACAAAACTTGAAAAACTCTGTAAATATCTTGAGGGAGCACCACTGTCACAATGTCTTCTTTTCTTTTCTTAAATGTCATTGCATTAGTGTGAAATTTACAGCTCTCATCAATTTTATTTCCTGTGTTTTACTGATTATAGATATTAATGAATTAAAACAACTAAATCATATTCCATGTTCTCTGAAGTTCGAGGCTTTTCCATGCTCAACTAATGCCAATGCAACTGACTGCAAGATCTTTCCATTTTTAAAATTCTTTGTCTTTGAAATGCTAATGTTTTTTAGCTTTTACCTATTCTAATAGGAAAAACCTTTGTACTTTTTTTCCGCATTATTTCTTATTGTCAAAATACATGAAAAAAAGTAGTTGGACACACTGTTTGGAACAAAATAAAATTATGCCATATGTCATACCTCTTCACAATTATAAATTATGCCTTAAAATTCTATTCATTAACTATTAGGAAAGGCATCGTTAGGCAGCTTTTTGAAGTCTATGTTAAAAAGAGAAAATATGTTTTAACTGAAGATTGACATAATTAAAAAAAAAAATTTGTTACTATTATGTTATCATGGAAACATTTAAGAACTGAGTTATAACCTATGCCATTTTTTAAATAAATTTAACAAGAACATTAAAACAATCATGCTTTTCTTCTCACTCACTCTACATGTACAGTACTTCTTTATCTAGGTTTAGTTACAGGTTCTTTTTTCAAGCAGAAATTTCAGGTACTGTTAAAATAAAGTTAAAACAAATATTGAATTTAATTGAAAAAACAAAAAAGATAAGTGGAAGTAGTCTGATTTCATTTCAGTTATTTTCCATATTATTCCAAAAATTATTAAAATAAATGGCAAATTAAAATTAAAACAGGCTGTTTATACAAAGGAAAAAAGAAAAACTGGTGTCTTAGCCATTTCATCCTTGCCTTAGTTTTGGGGAAAAAATATTCCTGCTTACCAAGACAGATTCAAAGTTATACATACAAGACTGCTTCTTTTCCAGAAGACAGTAAATTATGATGAAGTGTTTAATTAATAGGAAAAAATTCTCCAATCTTTTTAAAAAAATTAGGTCTGAAAGAGATTTTGCTTGTAAAAAGTATGCAAAAAGTGCAAAAGATGCAAAAAGTGTTAGGAAAGTTTTGGTTAAGAAGGATATTTTATTTCTTTTGAAAAGAAATTAGAGATGATCTTATTACCTACCAGTTTTTTCTCGCTTCCGTTGTACCAACAGGTCTGAATATTTTCAAATACTAATTTTCTATGAGTATGTTGGCTGACATTCCACAGTGTTTGTAAATGCTATGAAATATCGATCAACAACCAAAGCATTTTTTACAACATTGATCTATATCATATTTGCGATATTATACAATATGAGTAAAAGTCGCCTTTACATAGATCTTAATGGTAAAAAATAATACAAGAGAAGCTGCAATTACATAGGGGGAATCAAGCATTCCAGCATTATCTGATGATAGCAGAGCGTTGTTATTTGTAACAAACAGAGAAACGTCTGAACAAAGATAAAACATTATTGATTTAAAACATTGGTAAACTTGAACTGCAAGTTACAAAATCTATGCATTAAATTTAAATAAACACAATGAACAGATATTTCCACGTGCTCACAGCACAGACAGAGAAAACTACATGGCGAGAGGGTTGTGTAAACTAAATTGTGAGAGCCAGTGTAATAAAGACATGCTGATTTATATACATTTACTGTGCAGGCATAGAAAACCCAAACAATGATGTCTGCACGTGATATTATAATTAGATGCATAGAAAGTGGATGCAATTATGAGTTTAAATGTACTAGGATTGCTCCCGCGGGGAAATTTAAGAATTCCACGGCAGCAGAGGCATTATACATCACAGACTGATTGTATCAACACTTGTGAGGTGAGGTCATCTTTCAATCATCATCGATTACAAAATAAATACACAAACCTGCAAGCATGGAACTCGGCTGAAAAGCTTAGAACTCGAGTGTATTTTCAACATATGTTGTTTGTCATGATCGGCGATTTTATGAGATTGATCGATATTGTGTGCCATTTGGGTAAGTAAGACAATAAAAAAAAAACTATTTGCAATTTTAAAAACAAAGAAAAATTAACAAAAAATTTAGAAACGCTTAGAAAAATTATAAACTTGAAATCAAAGATAAATTTTGAACAAAGTTGGAAAAATATTTCTTCAAGGAGTTTTAAATTTTTATAAATTGAACTGTACATAAATTTTGTTTTTACATCTTATATTTAAATTTAATACTAAAAGTTTTAAAAGTATATTGCTATAGTAAAGTTCAAAGATAGAGAAAAGAACAGGGAGGGGTGTTGCAACATAAGCATGGAATAGGGTTCATAATTTGCTTATTTTTGCTGATAAGAAGGGAGCATCCAAATGTGCCAAAAATATGCTTTCAATAAAATTAAACCTATCAAAATAAAAAATGCATTCAGTAATTTCAACATGTATTATAAGTATGGCTTAAATTTAATATAGTATCAGCAAGTAAAAAGTTATTCCCATATACTTTTCTTTTGAAATAACTGTTTTCATATTATTTATTTTATACAGAATTTTAAAATCTATTTATATCATTATCTAAGATGTGGTTTGAGTATTCATACTTTACTACAGTTTTTAATTGTAAAAATTTATATACTATTAGCCAGGGGCAAGTCTGTCACAAAGTCAAAATCCATGAAAATTTTATTTGTAAAAAGTCCATAGAAAGATACCAATTTATACACCATACATGTTTCATTATTAATATAATTTCCTGAAATAAGATTTGTCAATAAATTGCCTACCAATGAAAAATATCTCAACTTTATAGTAGTTAATTTAAGAAAAATCTTAGTTCTTAAAAAATTTGCGATATTGGATTTTAAGATAGAGTTAAGATGAATCACTATAAAGGATTTTAAAGTTGTATGAATATGAATTGCAATGTCTAGATTTTTGCGTATAAATACAAAAATTTATGTTGCATATTACAAAAGCATGAATACAAATCACAATATTGTATTTTAAAAATGTGTGAATACGAATAGGGACATTGGATTTTAAACTTGCGTGAATACAAATCACGGCACTGAATTTTAAAAACGTGTGAATATGAATCCCAAAATTAATTTTAAAAATGTGTAAGTACAAATCTCAATATTGGTTTTTGAATCGCGTAAATGAGAGTCGCAATGTACGGTTTTTAACTCACGTGAATATGAATCGCAAAGTGTAACTTTTAAGCTAATTAAATACGGAAATCAATGCTTGATATTAAAATTACCCGAATAAGAATCATGCCAGATTATAAGTTTTCGATTAGAGAAAGTAACAAGAACTAATGGTTTTTGTAACGCGATTCTGCGATATTTCCAGAAAAACTATATGCCTGCCCTGATCTCAATTTTTATACCCGGAAGAATGTTATGAAAATTTCAGAGGAACGCCAGGAATACAATCACCCTTGATTAGTAATTGTAAATTCAATATGTGATTTGTAGTAATGTTCATGTTTAGTATGTGATTTGTTAATTAAATAGTATTAATTAATAAAATTTGATTATGATATTTTGAGAACTCTTTAAATAATTATAAAAATAAGTTTCAGAATATTCATTTACTTAATTAAAAACTAAAAAGCTACACATATTAATTAATTTATAGCTGTTCAATTCAATAAATTTTTTTTTCATTTGAATTGTTGCTTTTTAATTTTCACTAGTTTAAAAATAAAATATTATATAGCTCGGATATTAATAACATTATTTATAATAGATTGCCATTATTTTTAATAGATGGCAACTATAAAATGCTTAAAATAACAGTTTTTATATGACATATTTCGTTTCGAAATTAAGTTTCTTCCATTGTTTCCCCTTGATTTGGAAGAAAATTATTCTTTCCAGAGTGGTTTTTTCCATTGTTTTTTCAGCTGTTTTTTTTCACCAAATTAGAAACTTGCCATCCCTGCAATAAATATACAAGCAATTAGGTACTTTTTTATATTCTTTATTTTCTTCATCATTTGCACTTAATCTGGAACTAGTACTGTAATGAGAAGAAGCATCACTTCTACAAGAAGCTTCCGAAGCTGTGTCAGGAATTGATGATGATGAACCATAACGCTGTCGTGCTCTATCAGTGTGACCCTAAGTAAAATAAAACAAAAAATTTAGAAGAAAAAAATAAGTAAATAAATCAAAATAAGTAAAAAAAACTTCTAAAAAAAACTGAGTGTTTAGTAAAGCTCTGAATGAGTTACCAAAAGTTTTGTCCTAAACTTACCAGAATTGCTTTTTGAAAATATTTTCTTAGATTCACTATTTAAGTGATATATATAATGGCATAAATATAATGGCACTATTAAATGGCATTAATCAACTACACAAGTTTAAATTAAACTTTAAGAGCACATGCTTAAATAATATTAAACTTTTTTTAATAATCACACTAAAAAGAAAAGACTAAAATTGAAAAAAAAAAATTTAGATTTAAAAAAGGTAATTAGAATTAACAAATTATAAAATAACTTATGAATATCATATAATAAATTATGAATATTATATAATAAATGCTAAAGTAAAGATTTAGCCTCTTTTTAGAATTGCAAACATTTAATATATAATAATTCTCTCTCTTTTTTTTTAACTAACTTTATGTAAAATAATGAGGCAATTTTGATTAAATATGTTTCAAATCAAACTAGGAACATTTTTTATTTTGAACAAAATGTTTTTCTTCTTTTTTTTCCGATTTTTCATTTTAAAATCGCGTAAATACGAATTCCGAAGTATAATTACATACAATCAGCAAATGGTCTCTATTAAATTTTTATTAAATTTTATAACTTTATTCAGTATTTCTTTAATAAAATGTTTAAAAATTTTTTTTCAATAATTTTGAAATGCAAATGCAGTAAGTATTGAAGCTAAACATTTTTGTCAGAATTAAATTATTACGTATGGTCCCTACATTCATAATATGTAACAATTCTGAGATTACTGAATTTTTCATTTCAATCATCAAGAAATGAATTGAAAGATTTTCGGAAAGAGAAATCTGAATTAACATAAGATTTCCTACTATATTTGCTGAATTAAAACAGTAAAAAGTCCCACACTTCATACTTTTTTTTAAAATCCTTCCTCTACAAATTATCGAGTTTTTTTTATAAAATAACTTAAAAGCAGTGAAATTTTTAAAAACAATACAGTAAAATAAAAAGATCAAAAAAATTATGCAATTAGTAGACGGTCCCTGAAGTACAAAATACGAAAATTAATTCATTTTAATTACATTTTGTCTTTATTAAATGTAATGAATAAAAGGGAGATGGAAATTTGGAGGTAATGAAGCTTTGTGATTGTTGATTTCTCTGGAACCACATAAAAATACCTAAATGGTGAATGATCCCCAAGTCAAGTTCAAGGATTATAGTACTGAACTATAAATAAAATAGTGGAAGAAAGCAATTGGTTTGCCTGTGATGAAGACGATGGCGCTTCATCAGCGATGAATTTAACAAGAGAAAAAAAAATTCTTTTATTATTAGGGGAAAAAATTGGTAATTTTTAGTCGGTCCCCATGATCAGCAAAAATTCAAGAAATTTTTCAGTTCGATTTCAAAGGGCGGGAAATGAAGCCCGAAATCGAGAATCTCTGGCAAAATGCAGCAGAGTTGCACAAAACTGCGCAAAAATCCTTTCCACGGAATCAAGCTTAGTGTAAGTGCATGCAGACCCGCAAGTATTTCATCAAACATGTAAAATGATTGGCGCTTTCATACGCTACGGACCGACGGTACGCCAAAATAGATTGTGGTTGAATGAATTGAGAGAATGTTGAAAGAAACAACGTGAAAACCACGATTTTTTCTTAATTTGTGACAAAAATGAGCATGGTAAAGGGGGGGAAAATCTTAGTTTCTAAAAGGAAAAATTAAGCACTTTTTAGGGTTTCTTTTTTTTAAAAAATAAGCACCTTTAAGCCCTTTTTAAAAACGCACCCTGTTAGAAAATCCCTCATTCAAATAACGAGTGGAAATCGTTTCTGAAAGAAATTAATATTCTGACAAAACAAAGGCAAACATAATCACTTACTTTTTGACAATAAGAAACTTCCTAGTTATAGTAAATGAAAAATTAGTTGCAAAAAACTAGATGACTTGCTTGTTATTTGAATTTTTATTTATTACATACTCTCATATTTAGCTCGTTGTAGAAAGGACAAGATGGTGAAATAATTATTGAATGTTTTATGCTCAATCTACCATAAATTATATTTCTATCTAAATTATTAGGCATTATTTAAGAATCTTTTTAATCGTATCACAAAAAATGGACAGTTTGGCGGTGCACAGTGGTGCCATATAGTGTTTACCGTTAGGTTACGTTTTCTTAGTACACTGCTCAAAACATACAAAGGATATTGCGATTTTGTGGGTTGATCTTGCACCTGGAGAATTGTTTGAATGATTGATACATTATCGTCAGACATAGTAGACTGTATGAGATAAAAATGACATTTGTTTGGCAGAAGATAATGTGTTTTATTGAGAATTTGGATACAAAAGGGGAAAAAAAACTTTATTTGCGAATATCAGAAAAAAAAGAAGAAAAAAAAGGTGTTTCCTTAAAAGAAAATAGTTTTTAATAGGAGGGAATGGTTTCCCCGGACGGCCAGCAATCTTGAACACCTTTGAGGCATTCAGTCTATGATGTTATTAATGAGGGGCTGGGGTATTCTGTCCCATTCCTCCAGAAGAGCTCCTTCCAGCTCTTGGAAAGTTTGTGGGGGTGGTTGGCGTCTAGCAATTTGTCTGCCTAGAATGCCCCAAACACGCTTGATTGGGTTCATGTCCGGAGAACACTCTGGCCAATCCAGTCGTATGATTCCTTCCTCTAAAAGAAAATCGTTCGCCAAATTAGCACGACGTGGCCAGCAATTGTCGTCCATTAACATGAAGTCACCTCAAATCGCTGCAGCGTAAGGGACTACAATAGGATCTCATCCCTATATCGGCGACCGGTCAGAGCTCCATTTCGAATGATATGGAGATCGGTGCATCCATCAATGGAGATGCCAGCAGAGACCATCACTCCCCCCCACCGCCAAATGTTAGACTTTCGTGCACGAACGCTTTCTTGTGCCACGTTCCCCCCAGATGAAAATACGACTATTATCAGGATGAACAGAAATTTTTTTTAAATTTTACTTTCGTCATGTATACTTACGTTATTTAACCTTGATTATAGTGATCCTTTTTTGATAACAGTTGTTGTTACTTACAATAGAAAGCAGTTTGTTACTAATAATAGAAATTGTTTGCAAATATTGTATGCTTTTTTCTTATCAGGAAAGTTTTAAATCAACAATAAAAATTATCTTTTTCATATAAGCGTTTCCACACATTTGAGAAGAGCAAAGTCAAAGTTTGAACGTACCTTTGTCGAATTAGAATATTCATATTGCTTTCTTTTTTTTTTTTTTTAACAACTGACGATTTTATCGCACGTTGTTTGAATGAGGTTATTTCCGAAATAGCTGATTATGTTCCTCAAAACGTGATAGATTGTTAAAATTAATGTTGAATAACCAATGAATCACGATATATTTTTATTACTCTCAGTTTCATTTCTAGCTCTATTATTAATTAACATTATTCCCTTTAACTGCTTTGAAAACAGCAAAATAATAAGATTAATGAAGCTACGGTTTTCAATCTGACCTATATGTTTTGAATTTACCTAGGTTTATTTCTGAATAAATAAGTCAGAAAGCTCTCTATGAAGGTTAGGCTTATATTAATAAAAATTAGAAATTAAATAGAATAAAACATTCATTTCAAATGCAACTTTGGACAAAAAATTAATGTTTTAGTAATAATTTTAAGAAAAAAGGCTTTCTTATGAAAAATTAGGAGCATTTTTCTTTGTATAACATAATTTGAATTTATTTTCCTCATTAAATAGGATAAAAAAAAAACTCATCACAGTAGCACCGGGACCAAATTTCTAATTGCCAATTGAGAATTGCCAATTTTCGATGTAGTATACGGTTACCTAACTGGACAAAATTTGATAACGTATGCACTATAACCAGTTGTCAGCAATCTTCAGGCTCTCTAAAAGAGAATACTTAGGTGATACCGGGTATCTCGATGCTGATGAAATTAGTTCTAGCTGACAGATTACATTCTACAAGGTAAGAAAGAGCTTCCACATTGTCTCTGTTGAACTCATGAAGCAGATAAATTTGTTTTAACTCTCTCTTTAGTTTTTAAACTACTTTTATTCATTGCTCACAACAGTTATTAAAAAATATATTTTCAGCCCAGCTTATTATACGTTTAAAAAGGGTTCATTTTCTAACAAATAATAAGGATTTAGTCCAATAGTTTCGTTAGCCTCTGCTCTTGCGGTACAACCACATAAACCCGATTAAGAATATCAGAAGAAAGAATAGATCAAGGAGGAAAAAAGTGCTATCAAAGAAGAGAAAGTTGTTCTGCACTGACTTAAAAAAAAAAAAAAAAAAAAAAAAAAAAAAAAAAAAAAAAAAAAAACGGAAAACTTTAAAACAAAATAATTAAAAACAGAAGGGTATGAAAAAAGCAATGGATGGTTGACTGAATGTAAACAATAACAAGTTTCCTAAAACCGAAAGAAATTGAGAAAACTCCCAGCGTATCCCTCCGCTTCTGTTATGCTTACGACGCGATGTGTGAACAGGCTTAATATTCTTGGAAGTTTTATAACTGCGATTTTTGTTCAAATTAACGTAAAATTTTACCATTCATAAGAGTTTTCTGTAATTTATAAATTCTAAGAGGTCGTGATAGATTTAAGAAAATTAATATCACAGCATAAATAAAGTTTAATGTTTGCCACTTTTTGTGTATTATCTGATATACGACTATATGAGTATGCCGTTTGTAATTTTTGAGGTAACATCATAGCATGCTTGCAGAGTCTTTCAAATTTATTTATTTGTTTTGTTGAAAATTATTTGAATTGAAGGAACGTGTTATATGGTAAAAATTACAAGTATAATAATATTGGATGACGGAGCGCATTTTCAACCTTAGGCGTCAATTGGATGGCCGGAAGTCTTATGGTGAATTTTAACCTCTAGCGTCAACTGTGCTAAG